ACATTGTTTTATGTTACTAAGGAATGAAAAATTTCACTAAAACAAATTAAACTTGATCGTTAAAAATACTGATAAAGTTATTTTAAAAAATCTCTGTTCATTAGTAGTCTTATTGAGAAAAATGTTTTAACAGATAAAATCGAAAGTAGCTTTAACGTTTTATACTTCTAAGAGCTTTTATCATCTAATGGAGATCAAGGTAGAGAAATGTAAGTTTTTTAAAAATTTAATTTCTATCAATTTTACAATTGTCATTAAAACGTGAACCTATATTTCATATGTCCTCCTATTACTAATGGAAAAACAGGTTTTTTTTTGCATTCCGCTATTTATCTTTGATTGATGACCTTAACTATAAATAGAATTTTCATTTAATATGCGCATTTCATTGAAAAATGTGTTAAACACTCAGTTCAATAATGAAAGATTTCTAATTGAAAGAAACCTTGTATAAGAAGATAGGCGCATCCAAACTCTAGGGAATATTACTTTCAAGTTCGGTGGAAAGTTGATCTTAATTAATTTTTGTTTTAGTATGAATAGTGTCTCATGAAAAGGATCATTAAATTAAGAGGTCATTTATAAGTGTGTTGGATTAACCAATAGTAGGTTAGCTATTTAGTACTTCATTCTGGTATCACTCAGCCAGGATTAGAACTTTAAATTTTAAGTGTTGAAGCAAATGTCTTTAGAAAGAAAAACGTCAGGTTGTAGTCCAGTTGGAATATTACGTAACCTGACTTTGGGAATCTCTTAGTATATTACATGTTTCAGATTATCTTCTTTTTACTATTACGTTGATTAAATTTATCAAGGAGACCAACTAATTTAAATCCATCGGTAGGTATATTAAGTTATTCACTTTTACGTAAACAGAAGAGCTCTTGTAAGCATAGGCTATTTAGGCCTTTAAGTGGTTCAAAAGTGTCTGTATTTCAAGTTCATATCTGTCGAAATTTCATTCTATGTTATTTCAGTCCACTGGTTTTGTATCACTTCTAAAATATTGTCTGTGAAATGTAGTTGTACTTCATCAAGATAGAAATCTTTATGAAATCAAAAGCATACAATCGTCTAAATTTCTTGTTAACGTAAATTAAGGGTCTGCTTCTTGGAATACTAAAGTCTATGGTGAAAAAAATAGACATTTAAATATATGGTATATGTCACTTCCTCATCAGTTAGCTTAGTAGTCACATAGGTGGAATTCCACCAGAATTGAATACTTGGAATATGGTAATTAAGTCAGTTACCAACCAGTGAACAATTTGTGTACGTACTTTAGTCCTGTAAGGTATCGGTCAAGACAATATCAGCCTAGCAGCAAAGTTTCTTACTTCACTTGGTTTCTGTATTTGAGTAAACATGAATTCCCTCAAGACTGTGGATACGCCTTGCTGATTGGTAATCGCTATAAAGCTTGAGACCTCGCCTAGTTAACTAGTTCACTAGTTACTAGCCAGTCGTAAGCCCGAATAAAGAGGGAACGTTGTGCATAGGGCCGGCAACCCTAACCCGTAAAACCAATCAAACCACCAAAGAAACTTCAAAGCACAAAGAAAATATAAAACACAAAAGTAAACTTATTCCCCGCTGGAATCGGAGAGATGAAATGACGCTGGATGGTGAAAGACTTCGGGAAATCAATTGGCCAATATGTCTTCTCTTCTCTCGATGAAAGCATAAGTAAGAATGGAGAAATGGAATGTCCACACAATGTTTGAAGCAGGCTGGTTGGTAAGGCTGCCCAGATTGCAAAAGAGATGAGAAGGTATGGTATAGAAGTGCTAAGCTAGGAATCTGTGAGGAATCTGCAGACAGAATGGATGTGGACTCTCCAAACTCAACTGGATAGGAGTCAATAATCTACTCCGATATTGTCACTCAGGTGACAACTATGAGCACACTGAGTTCTGGATTGGCTATCATGATGTACACAACAGCATACAAGACTCTCGTGCTGGGGGAACCAATCTCCTCCTGCAGGATCATGACAGCAAAATAAATTCAACTCAAAAGGAAGGAAAGTCACAATCATACAATGCTACGCTGTGTACCTACAAATAATGTAGATCAGGAGATGACGGAGGAATTCCACAGACAAATGCAATCAGCACTGGACAAAACGCAATCCCAGTTGGTGACATCAAAATTCGAATGGATGGGTGACATGAATGCCGAACTGGGAAAAGACAACACAGGAAGAGAAGTGATCATGGGTGGAGAAGCACTCGGTGAAATGATGAATGAGAATGGAGAACTGCTTGCAGACTTCTGTGGATTCAACGATTTGGTGATTGGAGGTAGTGTGTACAAACACAAGGATATTCACAAAGCAGTGGCATGGATTTGATTTCACCAGACACCAGGACACACACTACACTAAAAATCAGATCGACTTCATCTCAATATGAAGAAAGTAGAGAAGCAGCCAGCCCACTAGACACAAGATCAGATGAAGAGGAGTAGATGTAGGTTAACACCACTCACACTACAATCTAGTGCGAGGAACCTATGTTCAAAATCCAGTTGAAGGCCCTCAAAGAAGCCGTTGATAGACCACTGTCGAATTTCAACACCGAGGACGGAAAATGAAGGATGAAACTACAATGGACATCCTCACCTCAGCCATCAGGACAAAATGGGAGACACTAAGCAACATCCCCGAGGAACCCATTGTGGAAGAACACTGGAAATTCTTGAAAGAGACCTGGAAGGAAACCTGCATAACCGTGTTAGGAAGGAAGAGGAAGCAAGACAGGACAAGGAATGGGTCTCAACGGACACATGGAAGCTGATAAAACGGAGAGAGAAAGAAGATGAGGCAGAAGATGAACTAGTACAGTGAAATGCAGGGATGACCAACGAAAAGAGGAACTGAGTGGAACCTATAAAACACTGCGCTGTCCAAAGAAGTGAATAAGAGTGCATGTGAAGACAAAATACACTTCTACGACACACGTTCAAGTGAAGCAAAACAGACTGCAGGAAGAGAGACAGAGACCTGACAACATTATATCGAATAACGTGGTTGCTATCTGGGAATAAAGAGATCAACGCAGATGAAACAAATGATAGATAGTGAATGAAACTTAGTTACTAAAGAGGAGAGACAAAGGAAACAATGGGTTGACTACTTCGAGAAACTGTTGAATCAACCACCACCATCACCAACTGCAACTCGTCCAGAAATATGACCAGCAGCCCTGCCACCGAATTACCAGTGAACACAATCCCTTTGATAAAAGCAGAAGTGAAATCCTGAACACCATAAAGTCTCCGAAATACGGGAAAGCAGTAGGACCACATAGAATTCAGCCAGATGCTCTGAAAACAGACTCTGAGATAACAGTGGACATGCTCACACTCCTACTTCTGGAGGTTTGGAAGGAAGGAAAGGTACCTGCCTACCAGTTGGAAGTAGGGCTACCTTGTTAAATTCTCAAAGAAAAGAAACCTAAGTCTTTGCAAGAACTGGAGTGGAATTATGCTTCTGTCCATCCAAAGCAAAATATTAAGCCACATCATCCTGGAGAGACTAAACAGTGTGCTGGATTCAAAATGACGATTGAAACAGCCTGGCTGGTTGACTTCAGGAAAAACAAATCATGTGCGGATCAAGTTGCAACACCACGCAACGCATCAGCATAGAACAGAGCATAGAATGGCAGTCAATTCAACTCTACCTCAAATTCATCGACTTTGAAAAGACCTTCGATAGTGTTGGCTAAGAAGTTATTTGACATACGGCTGCTACAACACTACAGTTTTAGTGCCACAAACAGTCATCAACCGCATTCAACAGCAGCTATGCTATGCTATGTGATGCTGCATGCCAAGTGATTCACAATGGAAAGCTCAGCTCACTGATGCCTTTGAAGTGAAGACAGGAGTAAGACAAGGCTGTCGCATACCTCTCAGTGGTGATATTCCTGATTGTGGTCGACTGGACTGGATCATGCGACAGACAACCGTGAGGAGCGAGATGTGCATACACTGGCTGGACCAAGGAGAAGAGCCCATAAGATTTCGATTTCCACCATGATGTTCAGTGTCTAGTCTCGGAGATCTACAGGCTGAAACCAACAAGTTGATAGAAGGGACGATGCAATGAAGGAAGACGGGACTTCAGGTGAACATAGAGGAGACAGAGGTGATGAAGATACTCAACAAACAACAACATCAGCAACAAGCACCGATCACCATCAAATGGGAGAAATCTGAAGGAAGTTGTCTCTTTCACCTATCTAGGCAAGACAGCATCGTTTCAACTACAGATGGTGATATAGATGAGGATGTCAAAACGAGGACCGGAGAGACAGCAAGACAGACTTTCATTGGTCTGAAATCAGTGTGGATATCTACTGCACTGCACTGCAATCAGCATAAATCGTGAACAAGATTGGAATTATCAACACTAATGTCAGTCAAGTAAGTCAATGCTTCTCTGTGATGGTTGAGAGACTTGGTGCGTTACGAAAAGTATTTCTAACAAACTACAGACATATATCACATCAACAGCTGCCGCCTACGCCTACTGGATACTGAAGATCAGATTAGTCGGCGAGAATAAAAAGAATAAGCAACAAGGAACACTGGTTGGCAACGAACCAACCAACAACCTATCACCCAACCAATATGCAGAAGGGAGTGGAGACTGATTGGGCATGCATTTAATGGACCGATTGGAGACATCACGCACTGGGCGCTCAAGTTGAACCCAAATGGGAAACGATGAGTTGGGCATGTGAGTGTGACACGCAGGAGATCATGTAAGGAAGAAATAAAAGGTTTTTGACAGTCGTGAAGAGAGGTTCAGTAGACTGCAGAGAAGTGAGTGAAATGGCGACGTGGTAATGAAACGCTGTGTTCCACTAGGAACCCAAGGGACAAATAATAATAATGGAGCTAGAAAATAGGGATCAGGGGTGCTCACTAAAAGAATCTCAAAATCTTATATCAGAATACATTTCAAAAAATGAAAATAATATATCACTTACCAAACCCGAATTCTGATAGTATTTTTTTCGTTTTTTCTTTGGCATATTTATCAGCTGTTTATCAGAAAATGAAAAACGTTACATTACTAGACCTTTGAAAACATTTAAATGTTCTTTCCTATTAGCTCAAACATATAATGGGTTTAAGTTATATTAAAAACGTATAAATGATAGAATCAAATCAAGTGTTTACTAAGTTTTCTGTCATAGGTGAAGTTAAATGGGTCATTTTTTGAAAAGCAAAGTGCTGAGATCGTGAACTCTTATCCACCTGATGCAGAAAATGTTATCAATAAAATAGCCAGAAGAACTGAAAGGTATTTTGCCGGTGACTAACATTTCAAATTGGAAATTATTTAGAGACATAAAAGTCTGTTATTCGGCGACAACTAAGTCCGCCATATAAATCAACTTGATTTGTTTAAATGGTTGGAGTAACCAAATGTTGGGTGGCTAATTATATCTGCAGTTAAAGTAAGGGTTTACGATTATTTTTCTGAGCATCGAAAAAATATTATTACGGGTATCTAAACTGTAAGGTTCCACAGAAATCGGCACTTAACGAAACATCAGTTAAATATTTAGTTTTCATCAGCTCACTTTAAGTAAACGTAGACAACCTAATTCCGAGTCCTTTTGAAGAGACCTTTAAAGTAAACTAATGAGGTCCCATATGCACTTGTTTATTATGTAAGGTGCACGACTTCACATCTTATCCATAGTTGAAGCCATAGGGATCAACGCAAGAAAACCTGATCTGTATATCCAAAAGAAACATGTACATCCACTCTGTTTACCTTGGCCCATAATAGGGTCAAAAAGTTCTTCGTGAACTTTCTTACAATAAATTGCACATTTTAACCTCTCACCCCTTTTTCTATATTATCATTACATTGATAAACGTTCATTTCCTTATGTCATTGGTTTTATGCCCTTCTTTATTCATACCTCAACTTGTAGTCGTTTTCAACCGTGACGTAACACTTTACACTTGTTATTCTCTCCTGAGCTAACAGAAGTTGAAAGTATGGACCATTTGATTCTGACCCTGCAGCTCAATGGTAAAGTGCTGTCCACGAAACCTGAAATTCGCGGGTTCGATTCCTGACGGGGTCGTGGGTGCGCACAGCTGAGGAATCCTAAACTGAGACGGAACGTCTGTCAAGTTTTCCCAGGTTTCCTTTTTTCCTCCAACTAATGTCAGTCTACGATGAATAACAACTTGAATTATTTCCAAATCCCCACAACTGCCTCAAAATTGTTGTAGTATTCACATGATTTTCATCCCACTTGAATATAAGTCATCACTACATATTAGAACAAATAACAAAATAAACAAATTATACAAAATATTTGTTTATTTTGTTACTTGTTCTAGTATACTACGACGAGATTAAGCAAATAAAAATGCACCTTATACGATGAATCATACTAACTAGGTGCCCAAGTTTTTTCAAACCATCCAGTCTATTGTGATAATTTGATTGGTTGTGGCTAGCAGCCAACCATTCAAATTATCATAATTAACATTCGGGAAATATTAAGGCATTCACATATGAGTCCATATATCAACTGAGGTCGAACAATTCGATCCAACAAAACAACGGACAATCACAAGTAAATCAAAAAGTAGTAATAACATCCAGTCCATTGTTGGTCAGGATGCCGTCATCACTACATAATTATTATGTAACCCTTAGTAAACAAATTCACATACACACATTCATGTCACAATAAATGTATATAGTTGAACCATTATCTGTAGATTCTATCTTGTCATTTCGTAACTGTTTTGTCAGTAGTGATTTTATTGCACAACTAGTACACTAAACTGGTAGCAATGATTTGTTCTCCATTCACCCATAAGACTGACCTTTTCAATATAAAAAAAGATGTACGCCATGCCTTATTTTGGCCATTGTATTTCGCTTATTCTCATTTATTTATAACTGTAGAGCCTGAAGAAGTTACTGAAAACAATTGTTCGCTCAAATTATTCTTGTTCTGAATAATCCTGATGAAGCTATTTGAAGTAAACTCAATAACCAGGTATTTTGTATTGTCTCCTGGTGTTCAAATCTTTCGCAAAAGACAATTTACAGAAGAATAATGGAGTTATTCTGCTAGGCTTGGTGAGTATACTAAATCGATTTATTGAAATAATTTTATCCTTTCTTTTATTAGAAGGGAATATTAGCACAATTCTCAGTGCATGATCGGAGGTATACGTCACTGTGGTCTGATTCAAGTTTGTGCATTTATGACCATGAGAGAATGACTTTGTTTGGATGAATCCAGATTGCAAAAGATAAAGAACTCAGTTGGAAACTGTATAAAAATATTCAAATACAATGGACAGAGCTCCAGAAAAAGAAATTTTGTAGCTTTCTTCTATCTCTTACATCATTAAAGGTTATGTATTTGAGCTCACGGCAAATACTATATCTAAGATACATACAATCCATCATTTCTGTTAACTGATAATAGATGCTGAGATGTAAAGCATCAGGAATTCGTCTCTGTTTGTACAACTGTCAGGTGTTTGCCACGATTTCTACTTCTCTAACAGGTTACTTTTTGTGATAATACTGCAAACTAATTAGCATCCAGATGACCTTTATAAATTTATTGCGAAACCGTTTAACCACTGATGTGACTAGTCTCAATATAGGACTAGACTGCAGCACAAATTTACGCTCCATCTATCCTATAAAACTGAATGTAACCTCTTGTCAGTCTGCTGTTTTAATAATGCTTTGATGACCTAGAAATATATTCTAGTTTTCCAGATTTTCGTTTACCTTTACCACCAATAGTGTTGGGTGTGTAGGTGTCCTATTGTAAATCCGTCATCTTTGATAATTGCAGTAGCCTAAATTACACTTCATTCACCTTACTACGTACATAAAAGATCGTATAGTGTTTACGAAAAAGAATCCACCCAATTTTTTTCAAATCAGCAGATGAGAATTTTGCAGACATTAATTTTCAAGTTTGTTACAGTTGTTACACTACAGATTGACGATACTTCCAAACTACACACTTATACAAGGTAGCATTTTTATTGAACTACAGGGGACTGTTGTTGTTAACTAGACAAAAAAAAGTTTTTCTTTCTGATAGTTATGTTCAATAGTTGCTAGCAGTGCAATCCAGGGTTCACGAGTTTGTCATCTCAAATTATCTGCTTCAAAAATCAACTACTCGGAACACCTAGGCATCCGTACAACAACCAGAATATCAGCAGTGGTTGGTCGATCCAAGTGAAACCAGTCAGCAAATGTCATGAGGTATAAGTTAATTATTGTCCTGAAATTTACAACTTTCAACACTTTTTTTACCAAAAATGTTAACACCTCGACTGTTTGTTGGTCACACGTTTTACTTCGAGGTGAATAGGGATTTCAATTTTGAGGTAGTGTTTATCACAGAGTGACGTCATCTGGAGAACCATTGAAAACCTGGGAGCATTAAACTGCTGTTTCGTTTATCGTCCATTCACTTTGATTCTACTAGAGGGTTTTCTACCTGAGAAGACTTTCTTTTCAGCCGGCCTCCACTCTTTAATTTAGAAGGTTTAGTTTGGATTATTTTGTCCCCTACATACTGTTGGACAAGTGCTGTAAACACTTACATAAATCACTTCTCATCAGTTTTTGTGTTAATTGCTTAAGGAATCATTTTTAGTCTAAAAACAGCGGGTTGAAGTGTATTCACTTGCTGAACTGTCTAAATAGTTGTGCACATTATGTTAGTGGTTCCCTCTGTTAGGTCTAAAAGAACGGCAGAGATAATCACAGCTTTGGTTCTTTCGAATATTTTATATATAAAGCATCATCCTAATTTAAGTCGGCATAAACCAATGCACGACAAAAACATTTTAATATTCACTAGTTAAATAATACTAGTGAATATATTAGGACTTGACATGATAGTCTGTTTTTCAACATATTCAGGGATATTTGGTCATTTTAATGCCATACATTATAGATGAAGTGAACTAAGGCTCTCAGGTTAGCATTGGTTATGGAATGACACTAGCTGGAGAACCACTGAAAACCTGAAAGCACTAGAAAGCTTTTTCGTCATAGTGTTGGAATCTGCAGTGAGCACCCATGACCCCGCCACAGATCGAACCCCAAATTGAACCAAGGATCCTCAAGCGAAGTGATCCAAATCGTTTTTAACTTAGAGCTGAGTGGGATCTAACTTGAGAAGTTTATGTCTGTAGGTGTCAACATGGTATTAAATATTCTTCCTTGAGGATAAGGATAATGGTTATTCTCTGTTTATTGACATGTACATTTCCATAACAGGCCAAATGACCTAATTATTAATTGCTTCTTCAACGTGTAATGTACTTGTCAGTCAAATCAATATTAGACCAGAAGAATTTCGAAAATAATCAAGCATTATCTTGATATCTGTTTTGAAACATTTCAACTAGGATTTTTGAATCTCTATTTTTTCCAGGCTTTTATATGCGAGGAAAAAAAACTAACAAGTCTTTGGCACAAATGCTACATTAAAATGAACCGGTCTTGCGGATTTGAAAGCGAATGCTGAAATCAAAGCATGATGTTAACCTAATCTTGTCAAAAAATAGTTGATAAAATCCACATAATACTAACTTGACACTTTGAAAATTAAGAAAGGTATACAATATCTTAGTGGCTTTACATTCTGTGAGTTGGATGGTTCAACGACGAAGTTTTCACCATCTTAAATCTACATTCATATACCGACTGACTTTTAATTGGTATGAGTACTAATCATAAATGTTTTGGAAATAAACTTATACTAATCACTCATTAACTGTAAGGTAAATTACTTAAATTTTGATTTAAGAGCTGCTGGCCATAAGATCAACTCATTTATGAATGAGGATCCATGCCAACAGATGACACTATATGATGGTCGAGCTAGATTGTCAACCTATAGAAGTTGGAAAATACGAAAAATTGGATGAAAACTCAGTAAGTGACTGGTAACATTGTTACCGCAAATAATAAATTTGTTTGACTTGATAATGGAAAAGCTTCTAAGAACGTAATACTAGAATATACTTCAATAGGATACGGCATCTGTCTAATAGTAGGTATTTTCCGCTATATAATTATTTGGCTTCGGTCAGTGGTGAAAATCATTCTGAAATTGTTTGGTAAGAAATAATAATTTATGTAGATGGTTGTCTAAACATTTCTGGAAACGTACGATTCAGACAGCTTGTTTATAACAGTAGACTTTTCTGACGTGAGGGAACGTCAACGTGAATATTTTGTTTGCAGAAATTTATAGGTGATATGTGAAGATGGTGTGGAGACTTCTGCAATCATTTAAGATTATTTCATGTAATATACAAAGATATTTAGTTCCCCCTTGGAATACAATGTTAATGGGAAATTTACTTCGGAAAACTGCATCCACCTCATACAGTGTTTCCCGTATAGCTGTGAAAGGAATAAGTGGAGTAAATTTTTTGTTTTGTGTCTAGTTTAAATCATTTCAATGTGATTGAGTAACTGCGCATAAAACTAATTATCTGTGTAATAGCAATTGGCCTATAGGGTTTTAGAAGACAGAAGATATTATAGTGAATGGAAACTCAGTTTCGCCAACTCATTGGTCTATTGAGTCGAATTTCTGATTACCGTATTAGTTTAAGTGTGACACAAAGTGTGCATTATGCATATGAATGACCTTGAATGTATTGTGTTCTCTGAGCTGGGTTGTTTAATCGTGAAGCTTTCATCGTCTTTCTGGACGATATCATCAGTACTAACTTCAGTATGAAGTGGGCTGTCAATATCTCCTCATGAGTGATTTAGTAGCTTGCCCTGACGACCTGATTTGTGATTAGTTGTTCCCTTTGATTGTTGTGTCATTGACTGCATAGATTTTCTTGTTGGCTTTTTCTCTGCTTGACCTCTGACCTTTCTGTCGTTTACCATTTTTCTTATTGGTTGATAGATTGGGTCTATGTCTACACACAGTAAAAACCAAGACCATCCTCTTGAGCTACAAATGTTCTCTCCTATTTCAAAATGGATATGAGTGACATTTGTTATCTGCTGTATATAATGATAAAATGTTTTCTTATCAGGCGGACAGTCACTCAGACATTTTTAAAAGGTCTACTAAATCACGTAATCTCAATTTGGAAAAGGTAAATTTTACTACAAAAACTAAACCTAAAGAGTGGATCTGTGTGAATTCTCTGAAACGTGGCATACAATGTAGACGTGTTAAAGTTCAGGTGGTGGTTTAAGGAAAGCACAAAAGAACAGAATTACAATCCTAAATAATTTGGCAACAAAATATGAGGGTTCGAATTACTTCTTTTTTTTTGTAAAGGGACTGCATAAAGTTTTAACGTTTACTTCTTCTAACTTTTGATAAGACAACTGGTGAAATGATATCCGGAGCACATTTCGAGTGGTAATAGAATAATTTAGTAGCTACCTAATCTAGCATATGTTTTGATTGCAGAAAACATTGAGCCTAAATGTTTCTTTACTCAAAAAAATGTGTGGTTATCTAATACGCCCATTTCAGTTCTAATTAGATGTTGTATTCCATGAAATAATACTGTTTTGACCGGTAGTTTAAATCTTACAAAGAAGCATTGGAATTAAGTAGCAATGTGGAGATATTTTATTTGTTCTATCTCATCGCTGATTAGAAATCAAAACCTAAACTTCTTGAATAATTCCATATTCCATGTTATTGATGAGTCTTAGATTCATTTCTGAAACATTTTGTGAAGGTTTGATGATTCAACTAATGCTGTCGCCAAGCATCCTATCAGATGTAGTTTCATCCGCTTCTAACCAGCTCTGAAACTCAGCTTAGAATCAATGGAAAACAAGTTGATACAGTGTCTAGCCTACGGATTTTCAAATCGTATTATCATCTGTGAAGTAAGAATTGTATTGCATAGACTATAGCACGAATATACTTGAAACATCAAAGTAAATCTGAATGATATAATGAGTTCTATTTATATCATGATGGATAGTTGAGAAAAATAGCAACCGTTAATAAGAGTTTATCGGTTATTTAATGATTCTTGAGTTATAATTATTGAAGTAGAGATTGCTTTAAATACAGTTTAAAACTATGTTATCTCGGCCGTATTTTTTGTATATCAGTAACTCTTTTATTTAATTTGAGATGATTATCGCATCAATTAACAAGATGGTCCAGTTAGTACTTTGATATTTTTGTATTCACTCAGTTAGGCTTTGAAGTTACCCACTGACCACAGAAAGTCAAGGATACTAAGTCTACACCCAAGTACCGAGTTGCCAACCTTGTTTAGTTGGCAGTTTTCTAGGTATTTGCAGTAATAGGAAGTTACACAAAGCAATTTCTAGCTACGACAAGTTATACAGCAACCATCAGTTACAACCGAGACTAAATACTTCTTTTCATCTATGTCATCTGTTACATATCTACTGGTCGTTATACGTTAACGCTGACAAGTTTATATTACAGTAAGAACCGAAATAGTCGTTTTTGTTTGGCTGACCTATTCATTGAAGCATCAAACTCAATTTATTGGCAAATTCGAATTTTTAATTCGCTTTAAAAAGGAATCTCACAAGTACTATGAAAGTGCAGATCACTGGTAAAATGTCATAAAATCGTTAGAAAATTGTCTTTTTACCTAACATTCAGCAGAACCCATCGACACCGGGGTATATATATATTATTAAGAATTAACAGTAAGGTTCCTGTTTCATGTTCGAGTATGTATCATCATCAACATCAACATAGGACCAGGCATTACGGCGTGACAGTCCGAGTTGCCACACCATATATCAGTACATCAAGTAAAAAGGCAATGAGGCGCAAAATGAAGATAAGAAAATTCCGTCGGAAGAAATACAAAGTACGAGAAGAAACAAATGAAGAATGAGGAAATGGTGGGATTCGGTATAGCGTCGTTAAGATGAAGATAATGTATGTATACATCTGTGCTACTGCCATCGGCTCTGATCCATATCACTTAGAGTCAGTCTCCAGCCACTGGATTCTCTTGTCCCGTATACCCCAACCGACTAGTCTGCATCGCCCCACATGGCTAAAACCAACGAGCATATGTATGGTTAAACAAAACTGAAGGACATCAAGATTTCCAGCAAGATGGTCATTTATGGACCATATGATAGTGGCTAGCGTTTCAACATAAAAAGAAGTACTTGTCAAAAAGTTGAAGCTTTCTGGGTGTCGCTAAAAAGTTTTGAGATATCTGGTGCAGCAAATGACAAAATCTGATCAATTCTTTCTAACCATAGTCATTTCTATGCTCAGTTAAGCATTATTATCGTTTCATTCTCCATCTACGTTATTCACTTTAAATTTTTTCTTTCACGGTCTGATTTCTATTCATATTTTCCTCTTGATTGGCATACTTTCTTAAATGTTTCTCTTTACACTTACGTGACTGGTGACTACGATGAATCGGATACCTAGAAAATTTCTTTGTTTATTTTATGTTTGTGTTAGGATGTTTGTAAACATTTTCTAGCAAGTAAGTAGTCTAGTTAGTTTTAATAACTTTAGTCATTCATTTCTACTCGATTTTTTAATAGTTGTACAGCGGCATTACTCTTTTTTATTCAACCAATATTCTTTTGTTGAGGCTGTTAGTAGAAATCGATGCTTTGCACACAACCGATGAGCTGATTCACCCCCTAAAGAGGGGAATGGTTGTTCCACGTTTATATCATTCTGATCTGTTTAGGGAAATCTATGGAATAGTGTCAGTAGTTTCTAACTTCTCATGTTTTCCAGTAGTATATTACTCATATTTTGTTGTTTATTTTGCTTCCAGTTGTGCGTAGTTGAACAGAATTTATAGATTAAAGTCGGTTTGTATTGTTTTGTTTATTAATGAGCATAATTTAGCAATATTTTGTTTAGTGTACATTTAAGTGTCTAGTAATAAGTGTTTGGCTGCAACAACTAGACATTTTTTCCCTCGTAAACTTCAATAGTTTTAATTACTTTTATTTTTATGTCGTAAATTTTCTTATGAGTAAAATATTCACCCATCTGTGTTGTTTGTTAGTTTATAGGAAAACGGTGTGACTTATAGATGAATAATATCAGCTAGGAACCAGCGCAGTCTGTGAAGGACTAAACAGATGTGATTTCATAACTCAGACAAATCCAATATCTAGCTTAGGAGGACATTGCGACATAGTTATTTGATCAGAATTCAGTGTTTCGAGTTTCTCAGATCTATTGAATATGCAGTAGAACGCTAATTTGTGGCTAGGCTGTAAATTTTCTTACCATGAGGTTTGAATGGACTTCATATGTCTGACTATGCTGTCTTGGTGGTAGGCAAAATATTCAAGAGACATGTTGTAGAACGAAACAGACGTGTACTCCTCTCTGGTTCTCACCAGACACCTAGCTGATGTGAATTTGGAGTTATAATTTATCTGGTTGATAGAATAAGTGGTACGTTCAATTCTTCATTGATTATACCTTTCAGAACTGTAGAATAAACCATGCCCAAGTAGATTTTGTACACATCTCTTCTGTAGTATTTGTACCATAGTTTCTTTTGTTGAAAAATATATATCATAACTTTTTTCATGTTTTAGTTTTTGCTTTACAACTAGAAGAGTTAACATTCAGCCAACTAAACTGATCTAGTCATAGCATGTACTTGTTTGGCGAAGAACATGAACAAAAACCCTTGTTAAACATTGTTACACGTTATTCAACTCATAATTAACCATATAAACAAGAAAAACAATATGGGGATGGAAAAGAAGGTAAAAAGGTAGAAAACAGGAACGGGGGGTAGGGAAAGTTTGAGTCATATTTGGTGATAGAAGTTTTAAAGAAATCTATAGATTATATACAGATGAAGGAAATAAAATTCACTAACTAATTAAATTATAAGTTAGTTACCTGAAATTCAATCCCGTTCTCACTGCTGTTTAACAGTTTGCTAACCGTTGTGTTAAACTCTCCAATCAGGTCACTGCAATATAAAGTAGAAGGAAAGAATAACTATTGAAGTGAATAGCCCGCGAAAAAATATGTAGGTTGAGCGACTTCACCGCGTATAGCAACGGGAAATTACAAGTGCCACTACAACAACTGATACGCGTAACACATGAGGTGGCTATCGTGCCGTAATGGCTTAGTAACTAACGCTGTGGCGTTTGCAGCGAAGGACACTGGGTTCGAGTTTCAGTGGGAACAATGCTTACTAAAGTGCAGGCACATCCAGCTGATAAGTCTCAAATAGGACGAAACGCGCTTCCTGGATTCTTCTGCTACTTACCAAGATCAAAAATGTGCATAAGTTTTAAACAAACAGTCATCATGAAGTGAAGTAACGTTTTTTGTCGAGGTGTACGTAGAAGAAATATTGAAACAGTATGTCAGGCAATGGTTTAAATAGCTTATTCTTCCATGTTGGTGAAACAATATAATCGAATGGCAAGGCAGTGTAAACGTGTAAACGGGTAATTTAGCCTTACAAGTTAAATCACTCAGTAAGATTGAATGCTTTTGACAATGGGTTTTTATGTAAGTAGTAAGTAAGTAGTTGTAGTAAGTAGGTAAATAGGGAGTTTTGTACGAAACCTCATTTAGAGGAATCTTTGTTGTTGATGGTCGATTTCTTTAACTGTCTCGAGAATGTTGAAGAAAATGCTTCTAACAGTACACTGCGGCCGTAGAAAAAGTTTTTTTCATAATGGAAATTTCATTATTCAAGGACACAGTGTAACTGTACTTTAAATTATTCGAATATTTCGGACAGTTACATTTAGTCCAGTTCTGTTTTGATGGTTGTTCATTTACTTACAGGTAAAGTTTCTGTTTTAACGTGACTGTATGAAAAGTCTTCTAGTATAATTAGTAATGTCCTCTACCTAGACGTCGATTGGTATAAAAGGTTGGGAACAACATTCTCCCCTTTTTTATGAATATTTCAGTGGTGAGTAGTGGCAAAGCCCAGGAGGAAGGTTCATGTCACCTATCCATCTATGCCAATTAATTATTGAATTGAGAATAAGCCAGTGAATCCAGAGGTGTTTTCCATTTTAAATTGATGATGGTTATGTAACGTAAACAGCAGTGTTCAGTTGTTTCGTAATATTCTAAAATTACTCGGAAACATTTATTTATAACCCTTGTCTAAGTTGATTTACGACTCTGAAACAAAAAAAATTCACTTTTGAAAAATCATAGAAACGCATTTATTCTTGTTTGTGTTGTGTTCTCTGAGCTGAGTTGTTTAGTCGTGGAGCTTTCATCGTTTTTCTAGAAGACATCTTCAGCACTGACTTCAGTATGAAGTTAGTACTGAAGATGTCATCTAGAAAGACGATGAAAGCTCCACGACTAAACAGCTCAGCTTAGAGAACACAACACAACCAAAACCATCCATCTGAGCTAAGAATATTCTCCACCATTTCAAAATCATAAGAGCGCAACATGCTTCACGTTGTTTGAAGATGAGAGGACTTCTCTAAAAGGGAAGCTTCCATGAAAGAACAACTATTCTTCCTCCATGAGTGCCTACGTCAGCGTGTTCTGCCGAATCGGACTTATTGATTAGTCTTAACGATTGATGTGACGTGAACTATGTTATTATGGGACCTGAGTGAATGGAATGAGTGTATACTTGTTGTTTAGTAGAAGAACTCAATTAGCAGAAAACTTTTAAGTATTTTTCTTCACATTGGTAATTTAAGATTGTTCTGGCGCTCACCATCTTTATATGGCTAATGTGATTAGCAGTAATTTTCTAATACAAATCCCAATTCGTTTATATCTTGGTTTATGATGTTATCAGCTAGTTAATACAAAAGTATGAGATCTAGAAATAATGAAAATAGCTTTCTATCCTATAATCATTGCAAGATAAAAGAACCTTTCTTCGAGTCCAAGGAGTTCTCCATAATAAGTCTAATTGAAGTATATACTTTCGCCTGTTCATATAATTGCATTTGGTTTTTGCAGTGTTGTGAGTTGTTTCATTAGGGAAGTTGAGATCCTGGACTTTCTTATTGTCTTATTTTACGAGCTCACTACGCCGTATAATGATCTTTGATAACTTGTCACTAAAGTGTAGGCATTTCATACCCCATGTACTGTCTGTGTTTGCATCAAAGGGGCTATAGAACTTTTGATAGCAACAAGTGAGAGATTATGGTACAGTAAATCTGAAAAAAATACTTTGCTGCATAAAAATGCTTCTATAAATTGTTGGGGAAAATTTGGTTAACTAATCGCTTTTTCTTTCTCGACAAAGAGACTACACAAGTTTGTGTACATTAGAAAAATCATTCAACTGTGGTTTATTATTTTCTGTGGAACTAGGAGAGTCTTACGTCTAATCAGAAATTGCCCCATATTACCTTATTTCTTTGAGGGTATTTATTATCGGTTTCTCTGCCCTTCCATTTTCATCTGCAAAGTTACCAAGTCTTTGGATCCCTGTCTAATCATTAAAAGCAACAGCATTTTTATCGATGTAATCGCCCCTATCCTACGACACTTAACCTCCTCCTCTAACCGGTTTGCTTATTATCACATTTTCGTCCTTTCTGAGCTTCGATGTGGTTTCGTCAGCAAACTTTAAATTTTCATCAACTTAACTAAATAGTAAACGAGCGAAAAAAGATGTAGAACGGTGAATATTGTTTTGACTTAATTTTCTTCTATTCTATCAAATTTTCATGTTTAATCTATAGATTTTAAATCTCTCCAGAATAAACTGATGAACACTTAGAAACATCTACACACAAAAACTCACTCCCTATGCAATTCATATCTCTCAATTAAACTGATTATGTGATTATCACTTTTGTATAATTTAATGGGATGAGAAGAGAGTTTGGCAGTGATATCATTTGTGTATGTGTTTGGGTATGAATACTCAATCGAGAGAAACAGCTGAAAATAAGATATTTAAATGTGAAACATTAGCAGTCACTGATCGATGTAATCAGGTTTTATTTGTTGTGACATCAAATGTTATCTACTTCCAATGAATTTCTTTCGGGGAATATTACACATAACTCTGAACGAAAGAATGAAATAGTATTCAAAGTTAAAATTAGGATATATATATATATATATATATATATATATATATATATATATTTACAAATATTTAGATACTTACTCAATTTCAGTATCCACTTCCTCCCTATTCGAGATTGTAAATAAGGACAATTTAACGAATGGAAAGAGAACAGTTGAATTAATTACTTTTTGAAATCGAAAAAAATTATCATTAAATGAGAATTGTAATGTAAAAAGTAATTGTTATCATAAGAAGTCTTTTTCTAAAATAAGCCTACATGAACTTATCAATGATATAGATCAAGTGATACTCACTTCTCACCACCTAATAATTGTATATGCCATTGTCATGGACTTTATTTGAAGATCAGTGTCAGCTGAAAGTTTTATATTATTGGTGGGAGTGGCTAGTAGTGGAATCCACGATACGCGTTTCGTCCTACTCAGAACTCATCAGCTGGATGTACGTGGCTCATAGTGAGCAGTGTTGTTCCCACTAAGACTCTGGCTCAGGAAAGGCCATTCCAAAAGCTAGAGCGTTATCCACTAAACCACCGGCTTACGGCAGTCACCTCTTGCAACTACTATTACTCGGTGGCCTGATGGAAGACGCTGTAGCGTTTGAAGCAATCGGTTCTGAGTCTGAGTTGCAGTGGGAACAACATCAATTACTGCGAGGTAGGTACATTCAGCTGACGAGCCTCAAATAGGATATGACGTACGTCGTGAATTCCACTACTAGACACTATGCATTCTTAATATAAAACTGGAACACAGGCATTATCGAGGCATCCACGCAAGAGCCTATATGCTAATAAACACCGATCAGTCCGGTCCAGTCAACGACAGAATAACACAAACTACAACATAGTTGACTGGAAGCTGACTAGAGATTCATAGAATGAGATTTTACTGCCGGCTTTCATTGCTAAGCGAAAGCTGCATTCTCGATGAAGACAAATCTCTTCTAGTGAATAAAAATTGTGTAACTTGATAAATTGGACGTATAACTGGTTATTCACATGACAGGCTTCATGACAGTATTCACAAAAAAATAAAATAAATCAAAAAAATCTTGAAAAAATTGAGAGCAAACCATGATTATTTCACCCCAGTGTAAGATTACTCAAAAGTTCACACTCGTAGACATGAGAAAGTTGAAGCCCAGGACCATCAGGTTTTACAGAAAGCATGCTGATGTGCAGCCTCTGGATAGAAAATCGAAGGTCCACATTTTACGCCATTTATCAGTTTGTGCTATATAGCGATCTGTTTTCTCTACCATTAACAAACATTAGTTGGTACATCCACTTTGTTTGGATCTATATATCACAAATTCTGACCACAAACTTGTGAAGTCAATCTGAGAACAGAATACTACTCATCATTGCTTATGGATCTTGATTGGTGCCTTCTGCGGATATCTTCGAGATTGCTAACCTTGAAGTTAAAATTTAGTAGTAAATTCTTTTTCAGAGATAGTGTACGTGTTAGATAGTACTTTTTAAATTTAAATTTCGATCCGGAAATTTTTATGAAATTCCACATTACATAAGATTTTTCCTCAGGTACTTCAGTTGATCATCGGTGGTAACTTTTCCCCGTATGTTTCTAATACTTGAGGATGATGACTCGCAAAAATTCCCCTTTCTGTTTAAGGTGATTCAAATTTCAAAAAAGTTGAACTCTTTACTTTAAGCAGACTCCATGAACTGACAGAATTACCAATTGTCTTGTGGATAAAGAACAAAAAATAGGTGGAGTTTTGAGTTTTACTCTGCTTCAAAGGCGAGGGTGGTAGAATGATCAGAATTAATAAAAGCTTGATGAAGATATCCAAGGCTCATATCCTTGTCATATATGAGGAGTGGATCACCTCTAAGTCTTGTATAATAGCATGTACCACGTAGCGCGTAGAGTGTTAGTGAAAAGATAGTGTTTTCCACGATTACCATAAGTAGGTGAGCAATGTTGGGCCGTACAGGTGATCCGATTGCAATGCAATAAATTTGTTTGCAGATTTTGTTATTCATCTCGAAGTATCCATTAAAATTTTACGCTGAAAAAATTCTACTTATGCAGTGATTTCAGAGACTAATGTCCTTGTAATGGTACAGAAGGAAGCCAAACTAACGATCAATGTTTTGTATCAATGAGATAATTGTAAGGAAGGAGATGAAATTCAGAGAAATCATTCTTTTGTTTTACATGGCGACAACCTAGACTTAATCAACATAATGAAGCGTGCTATTTTTCAGAAGCTCTTCCTTCAATACTTCAAGTATTAAGTGTCACTTCGGGATTGGGTGATAAGCAGAATAAACCGTAACTTGTATCAGATGGAGAGAAACAGCTTCTTTATGCATCCCGCGTAGACCAGCTAATCATAGAATATATAAGCAGTATTCAAGTTGTAGTGCATTATTTGTCTTTCATTCACTCGAATGTCTTGAAAGGTAAAACATGGTCTTTCAAAGTTTTAAAAACTGAAAAGTCAAAAGGTATTTGTTTCTATCTACATAATCCAGCGAAGTGATATTATTATTCCAGCATGTTTTTCAGGACTATTTCGGTTGTCTTAACTCTTTTTGATGTTTTTCCAATTAGGATGTGAAAAATTGAATAGCTATTTTTATTGTCCGAAAAGTAGTTTATAACATTTGATTTGCAATAGTCAAAATGACTGTATGATATTAGATCGAGATCTTACGTTCTGTCGATGTAATTACCGAATTCAACATTAGTGTTGAGCTCATCAGCTGTAGATAATATCATGAAACTCTGGATAGAAGTATTGTGGTCTATATGTTCAATCATAGGTATGTATTTCTGAGTAGCTTTATACTAGGCCAAGTTTATAGTGGTTCTTAAAGTGATGTCAACCAGTGATGAGTGCTACTTGTATTTTTTTGATGAAGGAGGTGAACTAATCATGTGAGAATTTTGAAGTTTTTTGGCAAGGAATAGGATATTTTCCAGTGTATGCGGCATATGGTCAATTGGATTCGACTGATCGAACCTTACTGGCATAAGAGTTTGTGTTATGTCATTCTTTCTTTGAACCTTAGTATGGTAGGATAAATTTTGTTTGCTTGATTGGTAGCACTACGATTTACTGCTATAAGTAAGAAGATCGATCAACGGTTGTTTGTTACATTAAGTTTTCTGTCACTGTTGTCTATATGATGCAAAAAACAATTCATTTAAACTTTCTTAATCTGCTTCGATTCTTTCATCATGTTATCAATGGATAAATGAATTATGTGGGTTTCACATCTCTCTCTCTCTCTCTCGCTATCTATATATATGTATATCTTATGGATTCATAGCCTGTATGTAAGAGAAGGCGATATAACACAATGAACTCATTGTATTCTGCTAACCTTATTGTCTTAGCTTTGTTAAAATTTGTTAACCAGCGTTTAATAAAATGAAGGTTAGTTGTTCTAAAATGCGAGAACAGCTTAATCAAACAGCAAGTAAATTTCATTTTCACTTTATTGAGCAATTCCATGAAGGTGTTTTGAAAAAAACATTTAGCTTGTCTTAACAGTTCTTCTACAAAACTTTAACAACTGTGGTGATTTTAAAAGATACAGTCTTGTATTCAAAGGATTACTGAATTGATGACACTATCAGAAAGTGTGTGATATTTGAATGAAGTATGTTAGTCTTTCTCAAGGAACCAGTGAGTACTCTTCCAGAAATACTTGATGCAGTAAGGTAAGTATACTTTTAAGGTTCATAAATCAAACTTGATGAATATTTCAAGCAAGAAAAGACCAAATGATAGGAAGAACAGCTTTTGTAGATTTCAATGTACCAACTAGTATTTTAATTGCAGTACCAACTGATGTAGCCATGGGTGCATGAAATCAATACTAAGTCATGTTTGGGCAGAATAATATTGACAAACAACAACTACTAAGCAATGATAAACATCTGCAGAGGGAATAACTGAGCTGTGCACAGCTTGTAGAGATCTGTAGGTCATTTAGTCAGGATTGATAGTGAAAACCAGTGGTTTGATACTATGGCATACTCTTTCATTACCAGGTTTAGTGAATCCCATCAAAAATATGTGTGTAGATTTTGCACATTTTAATGAGCAGTTAAGTAAATTGAAGATTCGTTGGGTTTATCTAGTGTAAAGCATATCATTTTGTAATTTTTCAAGATAGTGTAATATAATATTCACTTTTCTACTTGTTTTTTGAGCTTCTAATTGTATATTCTGTTTTAAATTCTTGAAAAATTAAAACTTTGTTTTTCGGTGTTGACTTTATTTAGTTTTCGAGATAGCCGTAAGGAAAAGACACTTGGAGACTGTTCCTGTAAACTGCAGTTTTATACGCAAATGAATCATGCCTCCCAATACTAATAGTATGAACAACGTTTTGTTATATTATATCAATCTCCTGCAATCCTACAGGTATGCCAAATCACAACATATTGACCTACTTGGTAGACATAACTTATCTCTGCCAGCCACGTTCGGTTTCGGATTATTTTAGAATTTTTCAAACTTTTTAAGAGAGAAATTAAGCTCAACCGCAATACTTACATACTGTATTATGGAATAAACCTCAGGTTATAACCTGTTCAAAGTAAACGCCTGGGTATTTTAAAACGATTAGATAGTGTCACAGCTACTGTAAAATCTAAGATGAAACAATAATTGTGATGTTGTTGTGTTATTCCATCACTGAGTGGACCAAATTGATGAATATTATTTTGGCATGTGGGCTCTTAAGCTAATGCACCGATACTGCCTGTGTTTTTGTTTTAAATTGCAAAAGGATAAAGGCTAGTAGTGAAATTCATGACGCGCACTTCATCCTCCTTGGGAATCGTCAGCTGGATGAATCCGCTTCCCACTAGGACTCGAACTCGGGACTCATCACCTCAAATACCAATGTTATCCACTAGACCATTATGGCACCCACTTTAGGGGGCTATATGCCAATAGAGACCGATCACTTTGGTCAAGTCTACGACGGGACAATGCAAGCAAAAACATTAAAACCGTACCCATCTCACAAGAGGTATCTATCATGACTCGGTGGTCTAGTAGATAACACACTGGCTATTGAATCGGTCGACGTTGAGTTCCAGTCGTCCTGGGAAATGCATCTCTCCTTGGAAGGCAGGTACATGCATCTTACGAGTCCCGAATAAGACGAAACATGAGTCCTGGATTCCACTGCTAGCCATTTTCCGTCGAAAAAAAGTAATTGTAATACGATACTATGATTTATTAAGTTAATTTTAATAAAAGCAGTGAAATATATCATCCGTGAACTAATGTCAAGAATAATATACTGAAATGGAAATGAATTTTTGTCAATGTACTTACGAATCTCCAACAGCTCCATCCCAGTCAAAGCATCGGAAATATAATTCGCTGAAAATTTAAGGGGGAGTGCATTACGGTAAACACAAGCAAATAGAATAATTTCAGGCAAAATAAGAAATTAAAGGATGAAAACAGTGTTTTTAAAGATAAAGACAATATCATTTTATGTCAGCAGAGTTTATCCATTGGCATGATTTCTTTCTAGGCACTACGAACGCTTGATCTAGCATGACAAAAACTTACATGAATGTTTAGATAAACATGTAGACTCATCTTTCATCCAAGTTAGCTGAGGTTGACGAAGGTTTTGTGGAATTATATGACATAATCTCAACCTAGTGACACTGTGGCGTCACATACTTCTCCGGGATCAATAGCCTAGGGTTCGATGAGACAAAGCATTGGTCCCGACCTTCATAGTTTCATCGGACTCGGTAAGCTGGAGGCATCGGGTCATGCATCCGCACCATTAGGCACGCTGTCGCGTTACGTTGCACTGCACGTAATCGACCCTCTAACCAGTTAGTTGGAAGGCATCGGTATCTCGGCATGACCTCACAAATATACTATTCCATCTTGGTCTCGTATTCATGGGTATATAAAAAGTACGAATAATTAGTAATTGGCCTCTGCGACTGTAAAGTTCTCACCAGGACAATTCCTAAAACACCGTTACTATTGGATAATTCAGGTTTAGTGAGAAAATGAGTATACTACTACTAAACAATCTGAGTAGTTAGGAACTATTCAAGCTAATCTGCAGACCTTGTCAGATCTTGTCAGATCAGAATGATCTAAACACCAGACAGCTGTTTCGCTCTTTTGAAGCTGAGGAAATTAAAGGTGTTCTCAGACAAGACCAACTCATAGCACCGATTTGGTTTGGACTACATGAATCTGGCTTATACCAGCATACCTAAGAATGATCAATTTTCAAGTGGTATGACACACTTTGAGATTTCTCACAGGTGAATAGTTTTTCCAACTGTCTAACTCTGGCATCGGCAGTGTACGGGATTACTCAATTATTATTTTACTGTATGCAGAAATGATTCGTGCAAACACTTAAACGTTGTCGCTATGTTGTAAAAAACTGATCTTTTACTTGGAAATATGAATATTTACACTTTTAAAGACCTAACTTTGCTTGCATTGTACACAAATATAACAGATTAATGAATCTTAACTACTTTATACAAACTGTTTCACTGTAACAAACGACAAATCATGAAATTTTGATTGGAAAGCGGTTTTATGATCAAATGGATTACATTTTTAGGTTTGGTACGTCATAATATCGATTCAGCAGTGAATATTTGTGATATTCAAGCAGAGGTTGAGAAATAGGTTGTAGAAATGTGATTTAAATGCAGTAATGTAATTTTATCATTGTAGGTTTAACCCTATATCTTGCACTCGCCGCAAATTATCTGTTTAGTTTACAAGCCATATTGCATATATGATCGATAGGATTCCATCTGCACTCAGGACTAGACAACATAAAATTGGTTGCTGTCCCGTGACTAATCAATACATGTAATCCAGTCCTACAGAAGGTCGTTCGCGGCCCAAATAGCTCAGTGGTAACGTCACTGACTACAACACTGGGTGACGTGTGTTCGAATATCAAGCGGGACATCAGTTCTGTCGACATTGCAGATACGCCCAGCTGACGAGTGCCAACAAGTACGAAACCTAGGTCTAGGGCTTCGTGCTGATTGCCCCATGCCGACCAACAAATTTACAAGCCTAAGTAGAAGTTAGGCTGCTACTTTTGTTGGTTGTCTTCTGAGCTGAATATCAATGAGATGCGGTCTGATAAAGACAATAAGTGTAAGTACCGAGTGCGTTACCGGTTACAGTACGAATTTTATTTTTATGTCGAACAAATTAAGGCATTTTTCAGTTCTTTCTAGTGGTTGAGACGTTCTACATCAATTCAGTTCACCGATACCTGAGAGTTACCTCTTGATTCCAGTGCTGCTTGGTAAGAAATTAAAAATTGTTATAAGATATTATTGTCATTAACAACTTCACTGTTCATGCCTCTTCGATTGTGAAGATGTCTAGAGTTCGATATGAGCTGCAGTCGCGAAGTATGTGCGCTTGCCTGTCAGGCTTCAGCTGCAATGATCAGGACGAGCCTCAACGATTTACTAACCTTATATTTACATTTAGCTTGTAATAATGAGCTCTGCTGGTTGCATTCAATTTGTACTTCATAATTTCAGTGATTCTGCTGGTAGAAATTGTGACTAAAAGTGATAATGTGAAGAAGATGACTATCTTTTCCATTTACTGAGAGTTCTAAGTAAACTATAATAGTTGTTATCAACCCCAAAGTAATTCTATGGCATGTGCTTGCAACTTCAGTGTTATACTGTTACACTGTAGTAAATGATCATAATCGTGAGAAAATATGTGAAGTAAAATCATCTGAGATAGCCATAGTTTTGTAGACTATTATTATTGATACGAAGTGATGATTCAAGATGAAATGAAAATCTTATTCTCCAAGGAATTCGAATCAGTCGTCTTCACGTGGTTAGTTCAGTATTCTACAGAATGAGCTATTAGACCAAGTTGCTGAGTGTGTTGTAGTTTTACTTCAATCACCAGTGGTTTTACTCATCAACTACATGACTCTAAGATACTTATCTATATGTTCATCTTAATCACACTGACTTCCTAGCCAAATATTCTAATCCAAGTCCAAATAAAGCTGAATTAGAGAGAGACCATGTCATATAAAAGTTAGTGAAAGAAGGTATTAGCTGATTTACTTTCACTTTTGCCCATATTCGTTATAAAGTTAATTTTAAAAGCATACTGTCTTGTTTTCAAACAAACTCATAGAGTGATTGGTTTGTAGTTACACGTGCCAATTCAAATGTTGTTTGAGATCTCGATAATTTATGGTGTAATAAAGTATTTTTTACCCCTCAGCTAGATCTGCCCAAATTACCTAGACAGACAAACGTTGTACATTTGTAGTTTTTATTACCAAATGACAATTTTTATCAAAGGCCAAAAATTATGATCACAACTACACAGCTGAAGAAGAAACTTTGTTGGTTGATAGTTAAGTTATTCCATTATGAAGAGAGAAGACATATATTATGCAACCAGTTAATAACAAGGGAGTTTTATGTATGACTCGTTTTCTACATTGCATGTCTAAAAATAGCGGTCTAATGTATGCATACGGCAAGTAAGTGGTTAGAATATATATAAATACATCCTGTGGGGACGCTTCTGTACTGCTGAATTATTTTGTTATATACATATATATTGTATTCGAGCAGTTCAGCTCTGTATAATGACGAGAAATGACAGGTGTCAAAGTAACAACCGATACTCGGTGCACAATAGGTGTCTAGCTTACTCCAGTGGCTTAGTGGGGAATGTTCTGGCGTTTAAATCGATGGGTACTGGGTTCGAGTCTCGGGGTGCTGGTACATTCAGCTGACGAGTCCCAAATAGGATGATGCAGACGTCTTGGATTCCACTACGAGTTACCAAGATGAATATAGCACAACAAATATCCAGCAGTATCGAGGCATCTGCATGGGAACCCAATGGCCAACAGAGTTTGAGGAGTTCAGCCCTGTATAACAACGGGGAAATGACAAGTTTCAAAACAACAACCTTCATTTTATAATATACGTACATAGCTATCTAAGACTCAGCACAAATTTGCGGTGGTTCATTTTGCTATAGAAAATGATTTCGTATAAAAAAATTCAACAAATATAATATGACTCGAGCCATAAAGCCATGAAGCCGATTAGTACAGAAAAACCAACAAGCGAAAGATATTCTAACCTGCAAAGTCAGGTAAATAATATGAAATGAGTAAGTCTACACTACTGTGACCAGTTTTCATCTGTTTCCTAGAAAGTTTCCAACCACTTGGGGTTTTGAATCACGTAGCTTGTGTTTTACCCAAATCTGTTATCCTAACAGTAGGTTATAATGATAGTTACACATTTTAATGAAGCCATCCGTAATCATTTTTACAAATTACGATCAATTTTGGTAACACTGCTTGCTAAGGTTGATTGCTGCCAGGAATATGATCTCTTACTTACGACTACATCACATCAGAGTCTTCTAACGAATTAAAGTATTCAGGATGAAATTAGGAGGGAACATAGGTTGAAAAAGCTTCTCTCCTTATATTCGAATCATTTGGAAATATGCTAAAATTACAGTCTTAAGAAATAAGGAACAAATGAGACAATTTGAGCATACTAGTAGTGAAAAAAAGTTCAAAATCTAGGCATAATTGTAAGATAGTTGGTTAATGAAGTATACATAAGACAAAAAGAATTGAAGCATTGTGAAGAAAAGCAGATGAGCATGAGAAAAAACCTGTTCGTCAATCAGAATGAACATCGAAAAACATGATTTATTTGAGAACGACTACTTTCGCATTAACCAGTGCTTCTCTAGACAACTGTAACATTAGTATACCGCCTCATACATGCTGTTATCGATTTTGAATAGGACTCATGGATTCCGTTTTTTTTTTATTTACTTACTTGTTATTCAGAAAATATCTCTGAATGTCTTAGTTTATGATAACTCAGCTAAACTAAATCTCACTTTATGATTTTCATATTTGTCCAATATTGACACTGCAACTTCAGTCATTGTACCTACCTAATTTATTTGTACGGCAAGTACAACATTATGTATAAATGCAACCTTCAAAATGACTGATATGAAGAGACAGAAAATTATTCCATTATATTAAGAACTATAAACAATGTTTAAATGAAACTTACCAGTCAATGTTTCCACCACATAGTCGATCTAAGCATACGAGAATTGGTTTCCAGTCAGGAAACAGTGTATTCTTTATTACTTCACTTCGATAACATTTCTGTAATCTATATAAATGAAATAAAAGCCGTTATCAGTATTTTTGCTTCTTCAACAGAGGGTTATTTTAAAAGTCGAAAAAAATATGAAAAGATAGTATATTTTGATGGTCAAATTAAACTTTAACTTTTAAAATATACACCTGAGTTGTAGGTAATACAGTTCAATAAAACAGTCAATTTACAAGAACCTAACTCAAACATGCGAGTACTGTCTTTATTGCTTCCACCAAGTACAATATATGCGATGCTGGATAAAACCCCTATACATCAGACAACATTGAAATATTACCTGAAACATCCACTGAAGTTAAACTGTTACCACACTTCAAAACCACTGTGTATTCTGTTCCAAAGAAAAGCATTTATGTCGCACTATCACACAGAGAAAACTATTACGGTACTATTTTAAGATAAAGGCTAAAGTTTGCCACTATGAAAACATATTATTCAGTCAGGCATACAGTGATTAAGAAAACCAAATACAAGTTACGTCATAGACACTGTTACTGTATAAATAGCTAGGTCTAAATCTATTGCGTTTACCAGTTTTCATGTGAGTTTCCACATACAAAAAGGTAGGGATAATTGAGATATGCACTTTAAAGTGGTAGATCATGCATCGAAATTGCTACAAATGTGACTGAATTCTTAGATATCGACAAAAGCAGGTGACAGACAGCTATCATCACCTTTTTTACGAAACATAGTATTGATAAATGTCACGGGATTGTTGTTAAAACAGACGTTACAATTTTGCGTTGAAACTGTCAGGGGAGTTTATTTAAGTTTGTTGATGCACTAGCTATAAACAAATGTAAGCCATCCTTATATGTTTAAAAACAATTCGTTTGTACGCTAAGCCTACTCTTGTAATGAGAATCTTATCCGACTACCAAAGTCGACTTCAAGAGTTATTCCTTTTATTGGAACAACAAGTTCTTTTATTGAATTTGTCTGGCGTAGTTTGATGTAGTCAATATGGAATTATGAAATTAAACCATATCTTCTTATTAGCTTGTCAAGATTCACATAGGAGACTAATTAATTCACATTTAAAATGCTTTTAAAGTTTCTCTTCAAAATCACTCTGGACAGTCAGTATCTGTGGACTGTTATTAGGTTAAAGGATTACTTGTAGTGGTCAAATCTATATTTGTTGAAGTTATATACCTCCCGTACCAAATCATCAAGATTGCCACTCTTTTCATATAAAAAGCATTATTGAACACCTGTTACATACATTCTTGTGGAAAAGTTGACATCTAAGTCATCACCTGTTTCACTAAGCGTGTATCTGATGATTTATAAAAATTCCCACTGCTTCATTGAGATGATACGTCTTCATTGGCCTCTCTCAAGTATTCACGAGATATGACTTCAGGATTTAAGTTTTGAGCGGAAGGCAAACCGATAAAATCGACGTACAAGCTAGTACATAGGTCCATCGGTTTAAGTTACAGCACCTCACATCATTATAATAAGATCAAGTAGATCAGAAAAATGATATCACGGTAGACAAAGGTGTTTACGGAGGAGCAAGACCTGAAAATGCTGCCCAGTCAAAGCAATAAAGCTCTAGAAGGTGTCAAAGAGTCAATATCTTAGCTTTATTGTGACCGATTTTCAGCCATTTCACTGGTAGTCTTCATCCACTGACACATGTCGTCTCGGAGACCTCAGCCAAGTGGTCTATACCTACTACACAGCTCACACAGACGGTCACGAATTTCATAATATGCTGCCGTTCTGAACCCTCCTACAACCTAATCCAACTTCCCTCTACACAGCACACACAACACATGTTCAAACCGCATCAGTCGACAAAGGTTCACAACATCGATGACCGACTTACCTGTCTTGCTTAGTACCTTTTCCTGGTCTCAATATTGCTCAAACGGTGACTCTACCATGCATAAGCAATGTTACAAAGATATCTGTGACCCAAGCCCTGCAATCGCTTCCTGTCTTTCACTTTCAATGGCCATGTCTGACAGTAGTGAAGCAGAACAGAAAGAGTGCTGCGCGGTATTCCCTTCCTTTAATGTGTAGTCAGATACTTCGTTAGTTGGCGCCAGAGGTCAGGAGAGTTGGCGAATGCCAAACAGGCCTTCTGTATTCAGGCTGAGAGTTCGTCAGTAAGTAGATCGTTTGACCTGATGCAACTCCTCAAGCAAGGGGTCCTAGTTTCAAATCCTGGTTCGCCTACTTTGACCAAGACAATCAGGCAGCATCATAAGCCCTCGGTCAGAAGTTGTGACTCCTAGCTCAACATGTAAACATGCACCAGGTTAACTGATATTGTTGTGGAGCTATGGTTCATTGAACTAGTCACACCACTTCTGACCAGTAGGTCACAGGTCCTAACCTAACTCTGTCTGCCAAGGCATGGGGACCAGATTGTTTCTTAAGTCACTACATATTAGATGTATCGCGTTGGCTACAGCAAAGATGTTCACGCGGTTGATGACAGCACTTCGATTTTTTCGCAATTTACAAAGTCAGTTTCCTCTATCCACTATCAAAAAGGCCTTCTGCCTTATTGTCTTAGTTAAAAGTTACTGACTTGATATATCAGTTTCTCTTTAAGAATTGTACTTTGAAAGACAATCGAGATGTAAGTCTAGTTTTTTAATTATCTAAGTAATCTTACAGATTTTTTCGGGGTCGCTCAAAATGGAACATGCTACTGATTTACTTCAGCAAAGCATAAAAACAGTTTCAAGAAGCAGATTCACCATTAAAGTTGCATCAGGAGATGTTTGCTTTATTTAGTGGGTGCAAGGATTGGTGAGCTTGTTCAGTTAGTGTGATGGTTAAAACCGATGATTAGTAAGAAAGCCTGCAAGTTAATAACCAGTTGTGTTGATAATCATTTTAGAGGGTTTGCAAAGTGAATTTCTTGACTCAGTCACAAGGTAATTGATTCAGATTTCCTGCAAATTAATTTTTCTACAAATTCATTCATCAAAATAAATGATTGTCAACCTGATAAATGAGGTCTACTCCAAGCTGTCTAGTCAGAGATTAGAAAAGTTTGTTAAGGGATTAAAAAACGTTTTTAGAACTTTAAGTCTACTTTTAATCATTTGTAGGATATAGAAAATTCTTCTCTCCCTTGTTTTCGTACTTTATTATGATTTATGGAATATTAACTAGAGTCAAATTTCGCCATTTATAAACGTAAATGCATAAGTATTACACCTTCAAATCGAAACAACGACCTAACAAGCGAATAAACTCATTTTGAAATAATTCATCTTTTTCAGTAGTTTTACTCATATATTATGGTGACAATCTAATAGCTCATAACGGTTAGCAATAACATAGGCATGTAGACATTTTATTCTAATAATACACCAGAATAAAAAGGGTTAAATTATCGATACAATGCAGCTTGTTGAATCAAGTGCAATATCTGGCTCAAGTACAACTAGAAAATATCTAGTACCATTGTGCTTCTATAATTAATAGTTGTTAAATTATCGCTTCTGTCTTCAGATACTATATGAGACTGAGATAATGACAAGATGATAAAATGGTCTGTATTCATTTAGTGGATTTACACGAAATGTGATGAACGCGTCTGTATATGAATGACAATGAACTGTACAGGCTTCAAAACTCTGTTGAATTTTAGCAGAATGACTACGGAAACAAGTTTGGATTAGAGACATAAAAATCACATGTTTCTATGTAAATATTTGATTAAAACAGATCTTAGGAACAAAAAAATTAAATTTTTTAAACACGATAAGCTCATGAAGATTGGCATAGCAAGTTAAGGCGAAAAGTCCTGCTAATTTTCTTCATAAATTGCACATTCTAAGTCCACATTTGTTTCTTTACACTACCAGGTATTCAGCTAAAAGTTATTCAGGAATCAAAGTGATCTAAATACTAAACAACTTTCTCCTTTATTTGGGACATAGATTGACAGTATAACTGGACCAAGTTAGAGTGAAAAGCAGAGGTTAGATTTAATCAGCTAACTTGAATAAACCGATGCATCGTAAACTGAAACAACAGTTTATGAGTCGCTGAATCGGAAAACAACTTATCCACAGGTTATATCTCAATAGTTTGTTTATCTGTGACTTCAGTGTAGTATTTCTCTATTAGCAATCTAAGAATTATTTAGTTGACTAGAGTTTTATTTGGTTAGTAGTGGGTAATCGTCCCTTCTCATTATCTAATCCATATTCTTAGCTTTTCAAGTATTGGTCACTATCAAACTGCTTATATTCCCCAATAATAAGAGTAGAAACAGTCACCAGGTTTCCCGAACGATGAGGCCTAGGTGTACAGAACTTACTTTTATGAAATGTAGGGTATCCATATCTTCAACTAAAAATAAAAATTACGTATTCTGTTTTGATTGGGTTATGTTCTCATATCTGGATTTTTTAATCTTACAGCTTTCATTGTCATTCTATTCAACCACTTACTTCATCAAATCTTTGACATATTTTTTGGAAAAGACCAAGCATATTCATAGTAGCAATGATGAACTGATCGTGTCTTTCAAAATTATAGCTCTATACCCCTCAACTAAACTGAAACTGGCTAAGGATGCAGTGACTCTTCTCCTCAAAAATGATACACACCTTTCCAAACACATACAACCTCAATGTTCACGTTTGATGGAACTGATTGATTCATGTCTTACAAAGAACTTTCAGTTCAACGGTAAACTCTACAAACAGATAGACAAAGCATCAATGAGGTCGCTTATATCAGAACTAACTGTAGAAACATTAATGTCAAGATTGGAAACTGTGGTATTTTCGTTGATCAAACCAAAACTTTGGGTCCGATGAGTAGATGACACATTTTTCATCATTAGAAGAGACGAACTGAAAGACGCTCAAAAACTAACCAACAACCTTTTCGATAACAACAAATTCATAACTGAAGGGAAATCAAATAATAAAATTGCATTTTTAGATATTCTGATCAATAGAATAGATTTGGGAAAATCGGAAACTGACGCGTGCAAAAAACCAACTCATATGGATCAAACCCTCAACTACAATGGCAACAAGCCAAAAGTTGTGTAAAAACGTTGTTCAAAAGAGCAAAAATACGCTGTAGTACGAAGAAAAGAAGAAAACTATTGGGCTATTGTTTTCCACACAACTTCACCAAAAGATGTTCACATTATTCATCACCAACCAAGAAGTCACTCTCGAAAACTAACAAACGGATTGCCCTACCCTTATTGAAGAAGGTCTCGGAGGTCACGACTAGATTATTGAAACATCTTGGAATTACTATATCCCATAAGCTCACGAAATCTCTTCAATCTCTGTCATGTGGGCCATAAGACGCAGTAGCATAGGAAGACAAATCAAACATTATCTGCAAACCGAACTGCAGAAACTGCGAAAAACACTACGTTGGACAGAATGATCGCCTTTTTCCTATCTGTCTGCATGAACACCAACTAGCACTGAGGCATCATAAGATATCTTCACCCATATCAATGCGTACAGACAACTATGAGCATGAATTTGACTCGAAAAATATGAAAATCCTAGATAGAGAAAATATAACAAAGGACAGAGAATGCTTAGAAGCTTGGTATTCAGGTCAGTCAGTAATCAACACATTATTTTGACAATGACCTAATCTACCAACCAGTAAGAAACAACAGGAAGGTTAAATCTCAGGTCATCAAGACAAACAATCAAAATAAACGTAGAGACGACTACAAGACCTTGGTAGAAACAACCAACCACACACAAGACCATTAAGACAGGGTACCAAACAAATTACGGAGGATATCTTATTGCTCACTTTTTTCTGAAGTCTATGCTGATGATTTCGCCTAGAATGACACCTAAAGCTCTATAATAAAACAGTCCAGCTCAGAGAAATCAGCACCATCGAAATGAGCTACAAATACTCTTTATTATCTCAAAATACACATGCTCCACCTACTGGTCTTAGATACTATCGAAGTCAATAGTGATTGCCTGAATCATACGCTAAGTTCTGCAAACTACCAAACGCGATTAAAGTTACTTTCTGTTATTCGCGAATAAAATTTATGGAAAAAATACTTTTGTCTCGATTTCTTAAAAGCATTACATTTTTAACCATATGCGTCAATTTAAATTACATAGTATATTGTGTGAGATTTAATAAGAAGCACACATAACAATAATACTACTAACAAGACAGTTTTTCATAGTATTTTTTTACTGTTTATCTCCTGTCAGTCAACTAATTATAAGTATCAATGCAGAAAAGAGATTTTTCCCCAATAAGTTATTACATTGACTTACTTTCCTCTTTCATTTCTCCGATAAATTATTACATAAGGATCAGATTTACCAAAGAAATCTTTTTTATCCAAATTTGCACCATTCATTTTAATGAAAATATTCTCCTGATTGATTTTTCACCGTCATAACAATATGTGCATGTAATCATTTATTTTATATTCAAAAAAAAGTTAAAGAAACACAATGAAAGAAGCTAGAATAAACATTTGAACAGTAAGAATTGATTACATCCAATAAAATATTTAGAAAACGTCTCAATATGTTGTCGTGGATAAAAATCATCACGTTTATCAAATACAATTTATACAGATCTGGAAACTATGATAGATTATTAAATTTCAACGTAGATTACCTATATAGGCTTTTACCTAATAGGTGGTTTTTAAAATCTTACAAAACATGGAATTATGACTGAAATCAAAAGAAGACATGTTTGAAGAAAGAATTCAAACCAGCTAACTTCATCTTATTGACCAAGCAATTAAACGATTATGATATACAACACATTAGGCACTAAGTTCCAGTTTCAATTGAGTATCATATTTCATGATCTTATTGGTAGGTATTATGTTCATCTTGGTCATTTCAATGCAGTTTTCGCATAACTACAACCTTTAAACTTTTAAACGACGTAGGATACTCACTAAGTCAAAGAAAGGGAAATTCTGAGACGAATTTAGATACTGTAACCATACAACTTCATTTATACATATAGAATATGAAGAACAGACTACTAGTGGACAGTAGAGTTATGTGATTATTGTAGTGATCAAGAATAGAAAAGTGGTGATTCTAAAGATGGAGAGAAGTTACACAGTAATAACTTATTACGAATTCCAACGTAAAGGGAGAGACTCGAAGCACAGAACTGGCTAGGATTGATGCATTTTTAATGCCTGTTCCATGCAAATGATAAGAAAACATACTGCTTTTAAACCATTTGTTTTGACGCTGAAGATAATCTTGAACCAGCACATTTAGTCATCTGCTGGTAAATCTGATAGCTATGGTATTTCGAGTTCATTTATGAGACAGTGAACTTTCTCGTGGTTCCAGCTGATAAGCAGACATCAACCTGCAAACCGTCTCATCATATTTCTCTCCAGCACTGGGGTTTCAAAATTAAGAAGCTTAAGTAACGTGGATAATTGCGGAGCTACTCAGGTGTTTATAAGTACTGTAGGGTACCTAACCTGCTTGCTTGGGTATATGTGTAACTCTCTTTGCCGGCATCGCGAAAGTATACAAATGGATGAAGGTGGGATTCTGATTACCTTCTCAGAGTAGGACCGAGTTGGCTGGCGTGTTCGTCTCTATTTCTGATATTTCTGAATGATAAGGTTCACATTGGTGGCTACATCAGCAATAATTGTCGAACACTCAAAGCAATGAAGCTTTTATCATCCCTCTTAGGTAAAGAATTGATTTCTAAAAGCAGTCGCCGATTGACCTCTGAGCATAGTTAGTTGTCTATTGCCACTACACAGGCAGAAAAGGTTGGAATGTCTGAGTGCCACCTCATTAGCCGAGGTGAGAGGGAAGTTGGTATTTGTCGAGCAATGAGTGTGAGATACGGCCCATCATGGCGAGATAACAGAACGGGCACTAGATGCTGTCTCGGTCAAAGACGTACCGCTAGATTCTTGGGACTTAGAAGCCTTCTCATCTTGTGGGAGTGCACGGGGTTTTGTGTTCATTGTTTTCATGCATGCATGTCTGACTGGACACCGGCCCGTTGGCAAATAACGTTGAACCAACCTTCAATACGTAGTCCTGATAAAAGTGGAGTAGTTTATTATTCGTTTATAGCAATTATAACGATTGTAAGGGTTAATTAATGAATTCTTCGAAAAGTAAGTATTCTTCTCTGATTCGCCTTTTCTTTTCTTTCCTTTATTTTAGTTTTGGTCTGTTTGATTATTAAGTGTTATTGAGATACTCTTAGTTCATCCAGAAGAAGGAGAATAATGCACTTAACTGTTTGTATCTTTCATCGTTTCCCAGTTCCAAACCTCTCAAAAGAATATGATTTGGACTGAAAGTAACGCAAAAAATGCATCTTAATCTCAACTGTTCACTTCTGCTTTTTGTACCTAAACTTAAATATTTTACTCAAGAGGTATGACTCGCTTTTGGTCAGTAGTGTCTCCAAGTTGAGTATAGAGTATAGTAGTCCTGTTATACAGGCTTCATTAATCAGATAAAAAAAGACAAACTCCTAGCGGCTTTTTTACTTAGAAAGTTTTTATTTGAAGGTATGGACAGAGGGTTTGGAGGAGGATTATAACAAAATATCATAAATATTGGTTAAACACGCTAGTAGAATATATATTACATACTCTGAGTCCCCTCAAGTAAACAAAATTTTACGGAGAGGAAAAAATTACTTGTTTTTCAGACATTTATGAGATATAGGAGAGATTCTAAAGTGTTTCATGAGATTTTCGGACGTAATTAACTATTTTTCTTTTTAAAGTAGTACAGTTGGGCTTCATGCTATAAGAATTCAGAAATTTTATATAGTTTTAATACTCTGCGTTTACGAGCAAACATAAAATATGTACTATGCCAGAATAAGTTTAACCAAGCTTTCCTAAGCTGAGAAGCAGTCTAATTTAGTAAGAATTTTCTTCGACAAATTATTTTTTCCATCATTTAAGTAATCAAAAAGCCAGTTAGATGTTGAAATTGTGTGCGACTAAGTTGCTTGGAATATGTGAGCAGTCTGCAGAAAATTTATTTACATACAGAACATACAGTACTGTCTTGAAGATAATCAACTTCATTGACACAACTGGTAATTGAGGGTTAAGTGTGTTTCATAAATCAATGAATTAAGGATATTACCATATGAACTAAGCACGTATATCACTTTTCTTCCTACCCTCATGGTTGTCTACTGAGATTTTCTCATCAGATTGGAATATATCCATAAAATAGCCGACCAGATTTATTTGCAAAACACAGAGTTTGTAAATTTAATTTCAACGTAACTGTTATCCAGTTTCTCCTTCAACTGAAAAAATCCTGTTTTATGAAGACGTGTTTACCGCTCAATACAGTCTCACTACAGGAGAGAGCTAGCTAAAAATTTCTTTTTCAGTTATATTTCTCAGGAGATTGTATAACATCTAATGAATGCCATTCCGGTTAGGTGATTTCACACTTCAATTGTACAAGAATAAATCGTGTTGATGTGTTGATTCTGTTATAACAGACAGGGATGGCTTGTTATTTACTGAATGATGTTTCCAGTGCAATTTGTCGAGGAACAGCCACCTACACCCTATCCTCCAAAGGAATATAGTGATAGTGCTTACCAGGAAGCACATTATTCATAGAATAACCAACAGGTGGTGACTGGTGTAGCTATTCAGTTATAAGTTGTGGTCAGAATCTGTCGATCAGGTTCGCAACTCGGTCACTAAGCGTGATAACTAAAAACTGCAATACGTTTTGTCGGCAATCAGTTAGACTAACTAGATAGGAAGTTATCAGCTACACCAGTCCTGAAATGACAACGTATTTGTATCTAAAGTCTGATTCTATAAAAACCAGTTCATAACTTGAATGGCTTGGTTGAAAGGTGTGAATGTGAGCCTGGCATTTGTAAACTTCGAGGAGATTTCGAGATTTAATAACTCTGCAGCTAACATTGTTGAAAACTACTGACTAATGTTCAACTAAAATTCAGATTTTCCAGGTAGCTAAAGTCATATAACTTGTAGTGAAAATCTTTGTGTGAGCTGTAACACAAGTTTCTGATTAGGCTGACTTCTGGCTTGAAATATAATAAGTGAATTGCTTTATGAGGGTAGTTCTTCCCATCTATTTCATTCAAACTGATGTTTAGAACCCTAGAATATCGCAAAAGTCTGCTTTCACTTGTTGAAGTATTCTTAAACTAGTTGTTTTCAGATATATATATATATATATATATATATATATATATATATATATATACCTTATCCTAACGCAACACAATATCTTTAGGTAGTATTCATCACGGACTGATAGCATATAGAGAACTATTGAAAACCTGTGGAGTCGATCAGTCAGAAGGAAAGTGGATGTCATTTAAAGACCTTGGATGATAGTCACGCTATATCGCGAGTCGACAGAAGTCGGAAACTACGAAATATTTAACCCTGACTCATTGGCTGAAGGACTAACGCGTTTGCCATGAGACCTTAAAGTCCTGAGTTCAATCCTCAGCCGGGTCATGGGTACTTACGGATGAGGGATTGTTTATCTTAAAAGGAGATATAATCCATGGTATGCATGTATGAAAACACATTATAGAAACCTGGTAGTGGATTCTTGCTTGATTTGTGGTTTTATATTTTGTTGAGGATGGTTGTGATAAATAAAGTGTCTAAGCACATTATTTTGAGTCACAGCTTTACTTGAAAGTTTTATTGTACTGAATCTAATTTTTTATTACTGGTAGTACCTAGCTTTCTCACTAATGACAACCTGGTATTTGATAGAAATTCATAAATGAAATCAGCTTTTCTTCTCGCAATTTCCTTTTCCCTTACCTACGTCAACTTGTCCTGAAGCAGTCAACTATATGTGTGGTTTGAAAATCTGAACAAATTATGTATATTAATTAAGTAATACGCATTCACAAAACGAACTTACTTTTGAGAAGGGATCCTCTCGAATGCATACTTTGAAAATGAAAAAGAAATTATGAAGTCAGCACTTTGAATGGTATTTAATAAATAGTTTATAGAAGAAGGTGTAAGTTCAGTCCTAACTCATCACTTAGTATTTACTTCCTATCAGACAGACACGCTGATCAAGGATTATTGTCCATAAGACGAAAGGAACAGTAATTTGCAGGTGGTATTCGTCACGCATTGACATCAATTGGAGGACCATTGAAAACTTGTAATCAGTGGGTAGCTGCTTAATCATGGTATGGGATCCTTGAGTAGTGCACATTGACTACCTCACCATGGACTGAAATCAGAATCTTCAAGTGTCTCAGAGAGCAGGAGGTTCGATCCTGGGGATAGTTGCGAACGCGTACTATGGAGGAGTCTTACAGTTGGACAAAGCTGGTGTTCAGTGCCTCCAGGTTTTCAATAGTCAACTAACTGATTTCAGTCTATGATTAATTTGATCCTGAAACCTATGACTCATCACAAATCTCCGAACTGAGAAATGTATATCATTCTTTTATATCATGTAAAGTCTGTATTATGTAATGTCCATTTCGGCTGGTTCTTCCTACTGATTGTAATGGTAAAACTACGATATTTCGATGTTGTAACACAAAATTATTTAAACTTCTAATGCACCAGCCGATAGACTGTATTTAACTGCCATCACGCGTTTGAAGTTACTATAAAGATTCCTAGTCTTGCTGGATAAGAGAAAGTACATTGAAGACTTGGGAAAGTTTTCTTTCTGTTAATAGAGCAAAATTAACGGCTGATTATAAAAGATTCATACTGATTCAGTCGTCCATATTTCAGAGTTATTTGTCACTGAAAATTCCTATTACGTTTTATGTATTTTACATAATTAAAGAGATAAGTAAGAAAGAAGAAAAATAAATATGAATATGAAAAACAAGTTGTGTTCAAAACGTTGTCCAGATAGTAATACTGTATTACTGTATGCAGTGTCAAATAAATTGACCGAGTGTAGAATTTCATTATACCACAGAGTTCAAATTCTATACTTAGAGTATTAGGCAAGAGGAAGCTTTTCACTGAGCTTTCGTCACTATGGTCCAAAATATAATAGGTGGATTATATTGGTGAGATCGTTTCCCTAGGAGGCATTTCCATTTAATTTGTTCATACAATATTATGATCTACAATTTATGAATCATTAGATCATTTCGTTGATGATTTTTTGTCCTGTATATCCTTATATCTTCGGAAACTATTCACGCTACTCAGTTTGAAAGTGGAGTAGATTTTCATAATATGTAACACATTCAAACTTTAGTTGTCACGAGTGTCTTAAATAAAAATGAACCCGCAGTCCCACTTATTCATTACAACAGTATGTTCCAGTATAATCACAGCGTTTAAAAGATATTTAGCGTTAGTTTGTAAATTGAACCCTTTTCTTTTACTCAATAAGTTTCTGATGTACTTCTTGATCTTACTGATCTAAACAAGTGTAAAGATAATGATTAAATGCTCTTGGATTCCACGTGTTATATGGTGCAAGTGAATTTTACAGCCGTAAAATGTGAGTAGCCATTGACTTTTATGCTTGATTCCAACTTTTCTGAAACCTGATGAAAGTATTCTTAACCAGAGAACAGGTTGATTTATCGACATAATTTTGTTCTTCACTGATATCACTACTAGAAAACCCGAAATACCACGTAAGAATCCTGTCCTCTGTTTCGTCCTCTAAGTTGAACACCTTACCTTGCTTAAAAAAGTTTGATAGGGTGCTTATTGTTAAGTCTTTATTTTGTAAACTATTTTATCTCAGTGTTAACTAGAATTTAAAGCAATTAATTCCCTTCACAAAACTCAACAAAACAATAAGACTTAAATTGTCTGAAACGTGTAATGTATTTGCGCAATACATTTCGAACAATCTCATCATAAGTATTTATATGAAAATTCTTAAAGCTAAGGTGATAGAATATGAAAAGAAGTCAAGTAGGATGACTTACTTAAGATTGCTAAATTGGTCGAATAAAGAAACTATTTAGAAACTAATCACTGTGGTTGCCTTAGAGGAAGTTTGCTAATACATGAAATCATATTTTGCTTGAAATTAAGTTACTGATACTTTTATTATCTTAAAAATGAGGATATTACTTTATTTTATTTGTCTGGAAATGTAAAACACCATTATGATTATTCAGGGCAGTAGTTGTCAGCTATACTTCACATATTCATCTTGTGATAACTAATCACCATCAAGTAAGTAATAAATTTCTTAACTAGCCTATTTTAAGTAACTTCGGTCAGGGAGTATATTTGAAGGTTAGCAGAACACTGGGGTTACGAAAGGATGGTAGCGAGTAGCCTTCGAATCACTGATTAGATGATAAACCGGTTAAGAAGTTACGCTCGGCTGCAACAAAGTTTTTCGCCCAGATGTTACTGGGAATGGGTTACTGGAAACTGTACATTAATTATCAAAGCTATCACAAATAGTACAGTGTGAAATCAACCCATGGTTTTCTGTACCGAATTTCTAGCACTTCTGAACGGAAAGAGAGACTCAAACTTAGTGACCATAGCTATCAATGAATAACTATGAGAATTCGTATTTCTTAACCAAAATAAGTTACAGGCACACGGTAATGTTTACTTTTCCGGAAATCCTAATGCAGTTACCTTTTATCTCACGTAATTCGGAGCTAAGTTAAAGTCTGCCATACTGAAAGGAGTGGGTTGTATCGCAGGAAATACACACCCTTTGAACCACTGTCAAGTTGTCTGCTTTTATAACTTACAACTACTTGACTCATCTAGTGTCGTACTGTATAACAGTCTACCAAAAAACACAATACGTAACTCCCCTTTAAACTTATATACAGATCCCTCGAAGCAGAAAATAAATCTTGATATTTCAAAAAGTGCACATTCAAGACGTTTGTGGTAACAAATGGATAATTTAAATAGGTGTAAAACTTGGGAAATGCGGTCGAATTTAATTCCACATTACATTTGTTTATTCGATTTATAACATACAGTGACACAGCATTATTTATGCGACAACTTTTCCAGCATAAATTATTGCTCATTATCATATCAATGGAATCACATTACTTTCGATATCTGATTTCTATAGTTCTATCACCTCTTATTCTTTATTTCTATTGATAGTAAACTTTTTCCATATCTTTGGTATCGGTATTGCGTCATTCTTATTACATATGTTGGGTGTTGACTGCCTGTATCCTGCATGTTGCCACTTAAGCTTTAGGCGGAATGACAGACATAAGTAGTCATTATTTCGTTCAAATAAATATGAAAAAATACTACAATAAGTCAAGAAATTCGCAAAATCAACATCAAAATTATTTATTCTACACACGACTTGAACGAAATAATGACTAATAGCGTCAGTCATGCAACACAAAGCTTACGTGGCAACATACTGGATACCGGGAACTAATATGAAGGATAATAAAGCAGATTACGTAATATATTGAATGGTTCGTAGAAGGTATATAACTTCCAAGAGGATGAAAAACTGATGAAAGTGGAAATCAATTGTGCATTACGTAATAAGATTAAACAAGCTGGACAAGATGAAATCAATGTTTTCTAGAAAGATTAAGATAATTAAGTGAAATAATACCGGAAACTAATCTAAGTGAAGGCAATTATAGTAACAATAATAGTGATAAAAAAAGATCAGGTTTTAGTTCTTGGATAGCTAAAGTCTGCGCTACTTTAAGGAGCTAAAAAAGAAAAGAGCGTGGGAGGTTTCGATGAATTTGATAAATAATTTTAAAGTCATTGTTTGGATTTGTTGAAGGATGGAAATCAATTAAATGTTCTAGAATCGAACTATTAACAGACTTTCATCCTTATAAAATCAAGCTGGGACTTGTTCCTGTATAGGTGTAGAAAGCATTCTCTGGCTACGGGCAATTTACCTTGATTCACAAGAGCAGGTGAACTGGTAGATGCACATATTTTATATTTAGCTAAATTCCTGTTTTCCGCTATTTTAACTGACCCCGAATGGCTAGTTTGACGTATGTACTTGACTGCACAGTCAAGAATGACGCAATAACGATACCAAAGATATGGCAAAGTTTGCTATCAATAGAAATAAAGAATAAGAGGTGATAGGACTATAGAAATCAGATATCGAAAGTAATGTGATTCCATTGATATGATAATGAGCAATAATTTATGCTGGAAAAGTTGTCGCATAAATAATGCTGTGTCACTGTATGCTATAAATCAAATAAACAAATAGAATGTGAAATGGATAATTTCTCACTTAGAAAATGTCAATAAGCTTGCTTGTTACACAGTTTAAATGTTTACACTGTCGACTTAATAGGTAATGAAACCAACCATAGGCAGCTTGATTATGCCAATTTTTTTGTTACATTGTGCCATTTGTAATGAGACAGGCAGAATTTTATTTCTCAGTAGCATCTGTCTGTATGCATATTTATTAAGGTGACATTAATTCCCGTTGCTGAACTATGTCGTTTATCTTATGTGTAACTTGCCTGATTATTTTTGTAGAAATATTTGTGTTTTTGTGTATGTTTATTTGGACACTCAAAGTTAACTGTTTGCCAAGGTTGAAGTGAACCGAAACAATAATTCAATGTTCTACCTTATTTTCAAATGTCTTATTTTTTGCATAGCCATTTAAGTTGCAGATTTTTCTTCGTGTCGACTTGAAAGAGTCATGATTCCAACTTTTGTCTTTGAAACTCATCTTCTTTCAAGTTCTGTCCATTCTTACCATTAGTCAAAAACTTTATTCAATCCAGTTTTTTTCTATGATTTGTCTTTATGTAAGAATATCTGTTTTGTTGAATTTAGACTGACCAGTAGTAATCTAAATATGATCTCGGTATATTTTCAATGAGATTGCATAGGTTTCAGAATGTAACAGTTTAGGAGAAACGTTTCTACTGATCAAATACAAAGGAAATGTGTATGCTAAAAAGAGGGGTGACAACAAAACACCAGTTATGAATGAAATGTTGTTACAGCTGTTTGAATTGACATTCATCTTAACCTGGTCAGTCCATTGTTCTCACAGTTTATAGTACAGCAGTTATTTAAGGCTTTTTCATTATGTCTTTGTCTGACTTTGATGTAAAACTAGTTAAATGAGGCTGTTGTTCACTAGTCTAGTCATATTGCGGGTTTGAACTCCACTGTATCTACCAAAACATGAGCAGCCAGGTTATATCATCACCCTTCACGGAATCAGCGTGGTTCATTGCCTACCGCACGAAAATTTATATGGTTGCTGAATGCATTTCGTTTATTTTTTCAACACTTATTTAAAATTTCCAGATGCCGAAAATTGAAGAATATGTGGGTGTCACAATAATATAGCTCACTGTTGATTTTGAAACTTTTCTTACACACTTTGCCAAATAGCTTGAGCTATGCTAGCTGAAATGACATCAGATTTTATATGAATTTCTCTCGATGCAAGTTATCACATTATTATAGTTGATTAAACTTAGGTAAGCCAGCACTAACTTTTATAAAAGTTATGATTCGACTCCAAGTTAATCAATTGTTTTTGTAATACTATTTTGTCTCATCAAACTATTAACTAATGTGAGAATATTTAGACCATTCACGTCATATAATAGTGGTCACTAGTCAAGTCAATGTTAAGTTGTTTGAAGGTTTTTATAGTACTATGTCCATTATATTTAATGGCAGTTAGGATTACTGTGGCTAGCGTGACATTTTTGCGATATGAACTTACCAACTATATCCATGGGTATGTTTCTGTCCACTTGAACATCATCATTCCATCTGTAACATCAGAAATATATAAAGTTAGCATATGAATGCATGGTAAACGATTATTACATGTTATCTGTCTCTTGATATGTATCATATCACTTGATAAACTTAAAATATATTGCTAAGTCTGTTACAAAGGATTTAGTCATATCCTTATATTTGTTTTGTAGACATAAGGTTACTTGAAAAAAATAACACACCTCTGAACTAGACTTCTCTTCAGATTTATTATTATTTATACTGGGTGATGATTGAAGGTGAAATGAAAATTTGGACAGCGACCAGATTAGAATCAGCTACCACAGGGTTTCCGGCCCTATGCTCCACCAACTGAACTACGAGATTCGACTGCTAACCAAACATCACCCAGTATAAAAAATACAAGTATACCAAACTACGGCTATCTCAGATAGTCAGATGATCGTTATTATTTGTAAGCCAACTGGGACTAGTGAATACACTTGACCAAGTTTTCGATCGTTCAGTGTCTACCATCAACATTCACAGTATGAAGTATCTTCTAAACGTCCGCCTTAAGTATTGCTTATTCATCCGTTTGTTAATGACATTCCGTAATGATAACAATCTGTAATTATGAGTGATTAATTCTCCAGTTAGTGTACAATTTTCTAGAAATCAAGTTACAGTAACGTTCATAGGATTACACTATTCTCGTGGTCAGTGTAAATATATAATAACCTAAACAAGTAAAGAAGAACCGACTAGATATGGAAAAAAATATTTTGTAGAATTTGTCTAATGATTAGTTTAAAACGTGACAGTGTACCTTTATAGGCTGGTAGATTTGAAGTCAAGTATGCATATACCTTAAAAATTCTGTATCTTTCTAGGAGTCTAAAGTGTATTAATAACGGATGGCAAATAAAATCATTGATATTAACTTTGTCATCATTATTATTATCATCACTTATCCCTTGGGTTCCTAGTGCAACATACACCTTCAGTAACATGTTGCCATTCCACTCTGTTCTCTGCAGCTCTGTGAACCTGGATCCACAACCACCCACAACCCTTCATTTCTTCCTCACATAATCTTCTCCATGCACGACTCTGCTCGCACACCCAACCCATCGTTTCCCATACGGGTTCCACTCGACAGTCTGACGCTTGATGTCTCCGAATGGTTTTCCCAATATATGCACAATCCTATCCATCTCCACTTTATTCTTCTGCATATTTGTTGGGAGATGGGTTTTTGGTTGGTTGGTTCGTTGCCACCCACAATTCCTTGTTGCTTATTCTCATTATTCTGGTCACCTAATCTGATCTTCAGTATCGAGTGAGGGTAGGCGGAAGCTGTTAATTTGATGAATGTCTGTAGTTTGTTGGAAATGCTTTCGTTACACACCAAGTCTGTCAACCATCACATAGAAGCACTGACTTACTTGACTGACTTAGTGTTGAAAATCCAGATGTTGTTCAAGCTTAGTGCCGAGTGCAGTGCAGTGCGGTGGATGTCCACACTGGTTTCAGATTAATGTGGACCTGTCTTGGTGTCTTTCCGATGGTGGCTGCTTCGACGTCCTCATCTGTGCCTGTGCCGCCTGTAGTTGAAATGATGCTTCCTGTGTGGTAGGTGAAAGAGACAACTTGCTTTAGGTTTCTTCCCTTAATGATGATTGATGCCTTTTGTTGATGTTGTTGTTGGTTGGGTATCTTCATCACCTCTATCTTCTCTACCTTCACCTGAAGGAAGTCCTATCTTCCTTCATTGCCCCGGCTATTCTGTCAACTTGCTAGTTTTCGGATACGGATTTTCAAGTTTATGCGACAAGACATTAGACATAAATCATCATCGGTGAAATCGAAATATTCTAGGGTCTTCTCATCGGCCAAATAACGTATGCCCATCTTCCCGCTCCTCGCAGTCGTCTGTGGCATGATCCAGTCCAGTCGACCACTGTCAGGAAGATCATTGGTGGTAGTAGGTGGCAGTTTTGTCTCACCCCTGTCTTCACTTCAAAGGCATCACTGAGCTGAGCTTTCCATTGTGGATTACTTGGCATGTAGCATCATATAGCCTAGCATAGCTGCTGTTGAATGAGGTTGATGAAGATTTGTGGCACCAAGATTGTAGTGTCGAAGCATCTGCCTGCCAAATTATTTCTCGGACGATGTTGTCGAAGGCCTTTTCAAAATCGATGAAGTTGTGGTAATGATCCAGTTGACTGCCATTCTACTCTCTGTTCTATAATGATGTTTAGCGTAGTGTTGCAATTTGATGCGCACATGATTTGTTCTTCCTGAAGCCAGTCAGCAAGCCAGCCTGTTCTGGTTATAATTTTGAATCCAAGGCGTTGTTTAGTCTCTCCAGTATGATGTGGCTTGATAATTTGCTTGCTTTAGGTGGACAGGAGGATGATTCCTCGCCAGTTGTTGCAAAGCCTTAAGTGTCCCTTCTTTGGGAGTTCGCAAAGTAGCCCTTCTTCCAATCAATCTGCAGGTGTATTTCCTTGCTTCCAAGCCTCTGTAGTAGCGGTGTGAGCAAGTCCTCTGTTGCCTCTGCGTCTGTTTTCAGGGCATCTGATGGAATTCCATCTGGTCCTGCTGCTTTCCCGTATTTCAGCGACTTTATGGCGTTCAGAGTTTCACTTCTGGCTTTGTTGGAGTTCTTGTGTTCACTGGTACATATGTTGATGTTGTGCCGGTGCTTTTTCTGGACGGGTTGCAGCTGGTGATTATGGTGGTCGATTGAAGTGTTTTTCGAAGTAGTCAGCCCACTATTTCAGTTGTTTGGCCTCTTTGCTAACTAGGTTTCGTTCCCTGTCTTTCATTGGTTTCATCTGCACTAATCTCTCCTCTCACAGATAGTAACCTGGTTATTTGATATAAAATTGTCAGGTCTCCGTCTCTCCTACCTCCAGTCTGTTCTGATTCACTTGCCAGTGTTTCGTAGAAGTGTCTTTTGTCTTTCCGCGCACTCCCCTTCACTTCTTTGTCCAGTGTTTTGTACGTTGTACTCATTTCGTCTTTTCGTTGCTCATCCCTGCACTGCAGTGCACTGCTTCATCTTCTGCTTCACCATCTTCCTCTCCCTGCTCTGTCAGCTTCCATATGTCCGTCGAGATCCATTACTTGTCCTGTCTTGCCTCTTCTTCCTTCCTAACACGGTTATTCAGGTTTCCTTCCATGTCACATTCAAAGAGTTCCAGTGTTCTTCCACACCCACTCCTTCAGGGATATTGCTTAATGTTTCCCATTTTGTCCTGATGGCTGACGTGAAGGTGTCGCTTTTAGTTTCGTCCCTCAGTTTCTGTTCTGGGTGTCCAACTCGAGCTGCAGTCTATCACCAACTTCTTTGAAGGCTTTCAATTTGATTTTCAGGGTAGTTTCCTTGCACTAGATTGTGGTGTGAGTGGTGTGAACCTAAATCTACTTCTCTTCTTCATCTGATCATGTGTCCAGTCGGCTGACTGCGTCTCCACTTTCTTCACATTGAGATGAAGTCAATCTGATTTTTAGTATAGTGTGTGTCGTGGTGTCTGGTGAAATCAAATCCATGCCACTGCTTTGTGAATATCCTTGTGTTTGTACACACTACCTCCAATCACCAAATCGTTGAATCCACAGAAGTCTGCAAGCAGTTCTCCATTCTCGTTCATCACTTCACCGAGTGCTTCTCCACCCATGATCACTTCTCTTCCTGTGTTGTCTTTTCCCAGTTCGGCATTCATGTCACCCATCCATTCGAATTTTGATGTCACCAACTGGGATTGCGTTTTGTCCAGTGCTGATTGCATTTGTCTGTAGAATTCCTCCGTCATCTCCTGGTCTTCATTATTTGTAGGTACACAGCGTAGCATTGTATGATTGTGACTTTCCTTCCTTTTGAGTTGAATCTATTTTGCTGTCATGATCCTGCAGGAGGAGATTGGTTCCCCCAGCACGAGAGTCTTGTATGCTGTTGTGTACATCATGATAGCCAATCCAGAACTCAGTGTGCTCATGGTGGTCACCTGGGTGACAATATCGGAGTAGATTATTGACTCCTATCCAGTTGACAGTTTGGAGAGTCCACATCTATTCTGTCTGCAGATTCCTCGCAGATTCCTAGCTTAGCACTTCTATACCATACCTTCTCATCTCTTTTGCAATCTGGGCAGCCTTACCAACCAGCCTGCTTCAAACATTGTGTGTACATTCCATTTCTCCATTCTTACTTATGCTTTCATCGAGAGAAGAGAAGACATATTCGCCAATTGATTTCCGGAAGTCTTTCACCATCCAGCGTCATTTCATCTCTCCGATTCCAGCGAGGAATAAGTTTACTTTTCTGTTTTATATTTTCTTTGTGCTTTGAAGTTTCTTTGGTGGTTTGATTGGTTTTACGGGGTAGGACTGCTAGCTCTGTACCCAACCTTCCTTTTTTATCCGAGCTTTGGGCCGGCTAGTAGCTAGTGAACTAGTTAAATTAGGTATTCACAGGGAAACTGGGAGCATTGAATCAATGGTTCTATTAGGTACGTGATTTCAGATCACTGCACATATAGAACTCAGTGAAAGATCTATCTAGGACCATTAGGTCTCTCAGCACTACCTTTTATCAATTAGTCTTTAGGTTGGATTTCACTGACTCGTCTCCCCTAATTTTGTGTATCCACAGTACAAGGCAAACAGCATCTCGTTTCATCGATGGGTATCCGACTCATTTCGAACTTGTCTGGTCCTGAAGGTCATGAATGCTTTGGACAATTTTAGAATATCCGCCTAGAGAACTGACAAAATTAGAAACATTTGATTATTGGATTTGAAACCTTCAACTAGATGATGATCTGCTCGTCCGAAACTCGAGGGTCCTTAGCTCACTCTTTTATGAGTTATGGGAATGTACTGGTGAGAAATTCCAAACTAGGACAAATCAACTGTCAAGTCCATTCAGGTTTTCTTTTTTTTCTGACTTATTTATTGGTGAAGAAAACTATCTTGAAGTGTCCAAGAAATCAGAAAGCTCCATAGATATGAACAGAAGTCCGATAAAGCTTAAAATA